ACCGTTGTCCATAGAGCAACTTTACTGCAAAAACGCTCTTTTGGGGGACTCAAACTTTTTAAATAAATTTTTCTCCGGGAATAGCATCGTACATTTTCAAGCACACCGTTCGATTTGCGATGAAAATTTCTACAAAATACTGCTTTTCCCTAATTTTTTACTGCCTCTATGTCTTTAAAAATATTATCAAAGTCTTTGAAACTGAAAGTTCCGGCGATGACTCCTCTTTTCTCTGGATGATGCCATGGAATCAGAATTTATCAATTTGGCAGATTTTTTTATCTTATCGCTCTTGAAATGCCATCTCCTTTTGTAAATATTTCCTCCTTCCATGTCGTGTCATTTTCTCAATTTTCAAAAGTTCTTTTATATTTTTTTCTGTCGCGAGGCTTTTTTTAAAAAGAAAAAAACATGATTATTGTCATTATTCATTTGATAAAAAGCGCAAAATCCTTTTCTGGACTTATTTTATGCAAACTTGTCGATTTCCGTGGCAGCTTAAGAGAAAAATTCATAAATTCGCGGCCGTTTTGCACATTTAATATACCGTAGCTCGCCGTTCAAAGCCCCGGAAAAAAATAATTTTTTTTCATAGTTTGGCGTCAACCCTAACAAGCTAAATTTCATCTAAAATATAAAAAAAGGATGAGTTTAAATTAATGGCTTACAGAAGAACTTCATCTCGTTCTCAGCTCTTCAACATCAAAGATGGGAAACGTAAGTATGAGTAGGGTCCGCAAGCCATTTCTTCAAAACGATCCAAAAAATATGTTTTTTTTTAACACTGTTCGATAGAGGAGACTGTCCATTTTCATAATCCGTTCAGTTTTAGAAAAAAGCTCCACTAAGAAAAAAGTTATGGCCAAAAAACGAGCGTGCGCGGCGTACAACTGAAGGCAAAATCTCACGGTTTACCCTGCTGCCGCACGCTTTCTTTTTAAATGTTTTTTTGCGCATTTCTGAACCGTTTTTCGAATCGGTTTTCTGTTCTGAGAGGTTGTCCGGACTGAGCTTCATGTTTTGGTATGAATCTTTTGTATCAAATCCTCATAAGAATTTTTTTGATAAAATATCAAAAAAACTACTTAGAAAAAAAGGTTAGAAGGAATTTTTCAGCTTATTTTTTTCTTTTTTTCTAATCAGAAAAAAATTATTATCATTTCGATTTGGAAAAATAAAGAAAAAAATGAAAAAAATAATGTTGATTTCGAAATAAAACAGGAAAAAAATGTGCAATTTGACTCCAAAAACGGCTCCTGCGACATTTAAAAAGGGCGCATCGGTGTGTTTGACGCAAACACTGCTACGGACACTTGCACGAAATCTTCCGAAACTTTCAAAAAAATTGCCATTTTTTTCGAGGTTTTTCAAAGCTCGTTACTTTTTTTTCGCGTCGATCGATTTTTCATAATTTTTTTCCATTGATAGAATTTTTGAACGCTTAATAACATAATCAAAAAGTATAGACGCGATCCTATTCTCTCATGCGTCAACGAGGCAGACGAAAAAAAGGAGGTTTTGGTAAAACTCAAATATAATTTGATTCGCTGTCCCAATAATTATTTTCATTTTGAATTTTTCATTTTTTTGGAGCACATTGTGAGTTTTTTTAAATCAAAAAAAGTATACCATGTCGCTGAAGTTTTTTTCGCATTTCAGCTTCAAAGTTTGGTGTCACTTTACAAGCTTCGATTTTTCGCGTCGTTAGATTTTTTTAAATTTTTTTATTCAAAAAAATAAAGAAAGTGTAAATGTATAACATACTTAAAAATTTAGAAGCGTTCCTCACTTGGTTTTCTGAAACGCGACGATTTTTGTGAAACTTGTCAGTTTTTTTCGTGTTAAATCTTACTTTTTTTCGCTTATTTTTTTGAAAAAAATACGTAGTTTTAAAAAAAGCATTTCAGTCTTGTAGAGCGTAGTCGATTACATGGATTCACAGAAAACAGTTTAATTTTTTTAAAGTGGGACTTTAGCTAGTATAAACGCCTCAAAACCGTTTTTGCAACAAAAAAATCGTCATTTTGATGGCGTGAAGGGGCGGGGCTTTGCGCCCTCTAAGTATGAGAATCGAGAAAAGGCTCTCAGAAAAGGTTTTTAGGACGGTTCGAAGCAGGCGGCGAAGCAAGCGGAGCTCAACCAGCTGAAGCTGAAACTTGAAGCTGATCTTCAACATCAAGCAAACCAGCTTCGAGCGGAAAAAGAAGCTGCAGAACGAAGTCTGGCTGAAGCCGCTCGTCAGGAAAGAGAACGAGCCGATCGGGAGCGTGAGATCCGCCGCGAGAATCAAGCAGCTCTGGAACGGATCGAACAACGTCGGAGTGACGCGATCAACGCCCATCAGGCTCGTCTGCAAGCCCTGTCGGAGAACGAGAAGGCCATGAGGGAGAAGACCCTCACAGCCAATGCGGAGGAGCGACAGATGATGGCGAATCTGCACAGCGAGCAGGTCCGACTGAGCGAGGAGAGCCATCGGCTGGAGATGCAGGAGCTCGATAAGGAGAAGGAACGAAATTCCGAGGAGCACAGCAAGAGGATGGTGGAGCTGGAGAGGCAAAAAGCTCTAATCAATGATCAACGACGTGAAGACGAAAATGAGCACGCGGCTCGAATGGAGAGGCTGAGAAAGGAGCAACAGGAGACGGTGGAACGACTCGCGAGGGAGGTCCAGGAGGCCCAGGACGCCAACAACAGGGCGATTCTCGACGCGGCCAACAGAACACTAGCTCTACAGACGACGCAAGCCTTTAATCTTTCACAAATCGTCGAAGCCATCAACGGCAGCACCCAAACGCACTTCTTAAAGGTAACTACTTACTAATTTTGGGTTTTTGGTCAAATTTCTCGTCGAACCTTCCCACTGTATTCATGTAAAACTTTGCTATGCAAAATGAAATTGTGACCCTTTTTTGTGCGAGGTTCGGTTCGGGAAGGTTAGGAAGTTTTTTCGAATATTGTTTCAAAATCATTCAAATATGTTCTGGAAGGGATTGAAACGAAAATGAGCCACGGAAAAGTCAATCCATGACGTAAAAGCTGGGTATTTGTGCGCCATTGCTAAAAACCGCGGTGAGCTGAGTTCAGAAGAAAACTCAAACTTTTTCGTGAATAGCTTTCATTTGTTCTCATTTTCAAATTTAGAAAAAAAAAACTGTTTATTGCATCTTCAATGTAAGAATACATGTGCAATCGACTTTCATTGATTTAACTGTGTTTAAACGGCAGCAGGAGCTGTGGCTTAGGCAGAGAAGTCGTGAATTTCGCTCGTAGAACATCAGGTACAAGAGAGGTCGTAGGAAGAAGTACGGTGCCGGCTTCCCAAAGGTCGATAGCAGAGATTGAGCCTTTTTCGCTGCATGCAGCTTCCAATTTTATCTACCCCGGAGGGATGAAAGGCTTGGTCGACCTCACGGGGACTCGAACCTACGACCTTGCGGATGTTAGAAATGAGTTATGCCAGCTGACCTATGCCGCCCCCGAAAAAAAAGCCAATCTCAAAACCCCATTTTCTTTTTTCAAAAATCATCCACCTCAATAATTTCGTCTACTTGTAGTAAACTTGTGTTTTTTTTTCAATATTTTTGATAAATTATGAAATAAAACTTCAGGACGACGTTTCGAGATTGAAGCAAAAGTGGCAGAAATCTGAGAGTCAGTGGAGGAGTGCACGAAACGAGGTTATTTTTTCATATTTTATTTCGACATGTGATTTGACGTCAAGAATTGATGACTTTTTTCCAATACCTAGTTAGGATTTCATGAGATTCTTCGAATTCGGAATGATTTTTCGTATAATTTAAACCTCAAAAATGAACAGAACTTGGAGTTGCTTCAAGATGATGGAATGCATCACTTTGTTTGAAAAAAGAGACATTTTCGAAGCAACCCAGACTTGCGAAAAGTATAAGGATGTGTCAGTCCTTTTAAGGTAGTACTAGAGAAATACTAACGCGACTCGAAAGACCGCTCGCTTTTTCAAGGAGTTCCCAATTTCTGAGAAGTATAGCCTGTGTATAACGACTTGGAATTTCACCGAACGACATTCCGCTGTGCCGCTGCGCGCCTTTGCGAACCTTGGTCGCGCTTTTAATTTTTTTTTTCTTTTATTGAGGTACTCTACTTTCATTTGCTCCCACAGCAATAACAATCAATTGAAAGCGTGACCTTGATTCGAAAGACGCTTCGCGAACGCACGCAGCGGAACAGCGGAATGTCGTTCGGTGAAATTTCTAGTCGTGGCACACCGACTATATAACCCTTGTTTTATGCCGGGTTCAAAGAAACTTGGAAATATCTCTGACGGCTATACGCAATTCGTTTAACATTCGGATTCGTTTGAAACTAACATGCTGTAAATCTCAAAAAACCTAAAAATCGGTCCTTTTCCACCACCATTTTCAACCAAATAGGCCAAAAAATCAAGTAAGATCACGTGAAAAAAAAGTGGAAAACACCCTGCTTTGATAAGAACTTTCCTTCCGCTTGTTTACGATCTCTCCGAGGCGTTGATTACAACTCAATTCGACACATCGAAAGCGATTATCGAGGCCTCTTGGAATAGATAAGAAATTTGATTTTGAGGTAGAGTCCTACATTTTGAAAGGATTCATTGCAAATTAAAAACGTGAAAAATGGAATTTTTGAAAAATGTGAAAATGTTTGAAGATTCATTCAATTATCTCGTTGTCATAGACTTTCCGCCTTCGCCTGTTGAGATTTGGAAGGTTGACTAAAATATGTTTGAGGATGATTTTTCGAAAATGAAAGCAGAATGAAACAAATTAATGTAACATATAGAGTGTGGCAACGAGATTCATTAAAAAAAAACCGAGAAGTTTGGAAAATTCAACCGAGAAATGTGAAAAAAATAATGAAAAGAATGGATTCCTTTTGGCCTGAAAGCTGTTAAGGCAGGGGTGCATGGGTGAAGCGAAAAATGCAACCCGCGCGCGCCTCCATCCCCTTGTTACCTTTAGAGAGAAGAAACCGTTTTTTTAATGTACTTAATATATTTCCATCATGAAAGCAAAACTGATTCAAACGAATGGAAACATTTTAAACGTGTATGGATAACAAAAAAATACATTAAAAATTGTCCTTGAAATAATTTAGAAAAAGCGTCGCCACGCGCAAAAATTTTTTTCTCCTCGCATACACCCCCTCGTAGAACTGCATCCGCTTTTTCATTTTTTTAAATTTTTTCGATAGTTGTCTGTCTTATCCAAACGCAGCCAAGCCTTGTTTTTCGAGTTTTGACTTCCAGAAGATGAATGAGTTGCTCATCTATATGTTTCACTTTGTCCAATCGTTGTCAGTCAACGTATTCCAAAAAAAAAAAGTGCGTTTTGGGTGACATTTTCATTGCTTTTTTTTACTCTAAGGTTCACGAGTTTCGATGGAATTTTTTTTAATTCTATTTTGATGAACTTTATTTATTCTTTGAACATAATACATTTTCTTTATACGAGCACCTGGATAACTGCCTACCGTTCAAACATATTTGACGGTATAGATCCTTCATTTTCAACTTTTTTAGAAGTTTTTCTTTTTAAAACTATAATAAGCGATGTTTACATTTAAAAAGTTTGGAAAAAAAAAAAAACGCTTGAAAAAAACCTCGCAAGAAAAGCAAAAATTTTTTTAATTTTTTTAAAAGAAATCGTGCGAGTGTGCGTCGGTGTGTATGCATCATACACACTGAAGACGGTATTTAAATGTTGTAGGAGCCGTTTTTCATCATCAATTTTCATTTCTTTATCTTTTATTGCTAATTGAGAGCATTTTTCATTTTTTTTTACTTCCCTCAAAATGGAATGATAATAATATTTTCCGAATAGAAAAGAGATCTTTTTTGTAAGAAGCTTTTTCATTATTTCATCAAAAATTCCTATGAAAATTGTATAAAAGATTCATGTCCAAACATTAAGCTCAGTTCTGAAAACCTTTAAAAACTGGAAACTGGTTTGAAAACGGTTCAGAAATGCGTATTTCTTTGAACTCGCCGACGAGGGAACAGACAGACGCAGACACGCGAAAACTGTCAAGTCGCGGCGGACGGACTTTAGTGATCTAAAATAGAAAAAGTGCCAGAAGACTCGTCGCAAATATATTAGAAAAGTGAAAAATATTACATTTTTTTCAGATCCAAAAGTTCGCCGGCGGCTTTACTGGCAGGGCTGTTGTTCAGGTAAGTTCTCCGTTAACAGTCAGAAAAACAATTATCTTACAACTCAGATGGAACTGGACGAATTGAGTACCAACTTGAACGATTTCGGAAATACGCTCGCTGGAGTTTCTGCTCTCGTCGGACACAATTCAGTTTTGAAAGAAGAAGAAAGGAATAATCTCGAAGTTTCTCATCTTGATGGAAAGGGAATGATGGTGGATTTCTTTCAGGAAATAATCGCTAAAGGTATCTCTCTTTATGGGGAGGTCGACAGCGCGTACAGCAGCTTGAACGGAAAATTTCTTATGGTTCGTTTCGATTTCATTGACAAAGTTGGGCGGACTTTTCAAGGTTCCTTAACGCTGTTCCTGAAAGCTGGACAAAAACGCTCCTTAGCCTATTTTTTCCACTTTTTCTTGCGTCTTGAAGTCCTAGAAAAATGTAATGGTTGATGGATCATTTCAGCGCAAGTTTTAACATCACCTCTAAGGATGCCAGAGTTTCTCTCCTATCATTTCACGACTATTCAAATTCAAAGAAAAGCCAAAATTGTTTTTCTTAAAGTTTCTAAACCAAAGTGGAAATTTAATACGTGAATCGTATGTGTAATTTTTTTACCACAACGGACAAAATTTCAAAGTTTGAGATAATGAAATAAATAAAACTTGTCCAGAAAAAAATGCCTTCACTCAGGTACTCGAGACTTTCTCCCGAGGAAGAAATTCGGTAGAACCGCGGGAACAAAACTTCCCTTCAAAAACGATAAAACTTCTGATCCTCATAAAAAAACACAACCTAGTAAGACGACGCCATTTTTTTATTCATAACGGCTCGGGCTTCATATGATCCGTTATTTTAACTATTATTCGATCCAATTTCGGTGAATTAAATTTTGAAACTACTTCTTCTTTTTCATTTTTCAGGAGTTAAAACCAGGATATCGTACGATTCTTATATTTATCAATTTTAGGACGCAGAGCGAAACGATTTGTTGAGGGCGGTTGAGACGATGACCAACAAGATCAACGAAATCTCGCAGGCGCTCAACAAGATCAACGTCGGGAATCCTGGACAGCGTGTTCAGGAGGCCATCGCTCAAGGGATCGAAAGAGTTGCCAACAGTAGGAATGCTGTTGGAGCTGCACCATCTTTTCCGAGCATCCAGCAGTAGGATGACTCTTTCCTTTTTTTTCTTTTATATATCTTTCCATGAAAGTATGTATTTCGTATTTGCTCCATCTTTCACCATTTACTATTTCAAACTTGTTAAAACTTCACTAAAATTGTTTAAGAAAACAGCCGGAAAGCGAACTTTCTGAGCTCTTCTTTTTTTCTGTAATCATAGTTTTGTAGGGCGTGTTTGTGATTTTCTTCAAAAAATGCCCTACTGAGTTATTTGCGAAACTCAGCGAAAGAGCGCACTTACTCGGATATTTTTAAACTCAAGTGAGCTTCTGCATTTTTCATCTTCCATTCCCCTCAGAACTCTAAATTCTACAGCCTTCATTTTTTTTTTCACAGTTTTGCCTTATTAAAAAATTTCAGAAAATAATTGAGTTACATTCTCATTTTCTCTCACAAATGAAAAAAAATCCTTTGTTATCTCCTCATTTTTTTCTACATGCGTTCTTTCATTTCAATAAACAGTTTAATTCATTGAAACATCTGAGGACCATTGGATTTATACCAATGTTTACTTAATTATCGATCGCTCTTGGGACACCCGAAAAATGGTCTCAAGAACTTTTCAGGCGGAACAAATCACTGAGAAAAATAAAATGAACGCCCACGGGTCCGCAGAAAGCTATACGGTAAAATGGCTATTTTTAAAATAATGATGACCATTTTCAGGAGCTTCCTTACACATCAAGCCAACAACCTTCAGCGCAACGTTCTAGCCGTGATTCAATCAGATTTAGTAGTCTTCCAAGGAATGAAGGAGTTCAACAGTTAACTCTTCCTCAGCAATCACGATCAAAGTCAATGCCGCGTCATAACTATCAAAACAGTGAGGTTCTATCCGATCTTTGTCAAGCTTTCTTCTATTATTCTGATTCAGACTGGCCGTCGGAACTCCTTCGATTTTCTAGAGAAAATTCAGAGCAAACCCAATGAGAGAAAAGAAATAAAAGAAAGAAAAAAACAGAAAAAAGCCGAAGAACTAGAAAGGCAGAAAATGGAACTCGTTCGAGCCCATCAAGAACAGTTATACAGAACGGCGGCCAGTCATAGAGAAGAGATGATGAGAATCGAAGCAAAAGACTTAGAAGAACGAAACATTCGGAAACAACGTGAAGATAGAACACGGGAGTTGGAGAAGGACCGCCTGCAAAGGCATCAGCTAGACGTTCAGAGAAGGGAAAAATTGCAGCAGGAAGAATTCCAAGCAAGGCAATATGCTCTGGATAGAGAACATGAAGCGAGGATGGCAAACTTGGTCAAATCGAACAGAGAAATGCTCGCCAGGAAAGACGAAGAAACTCAGCGGAGCCTCCAGCAAAGCAACTTGAAGTACGAGGAAGAGAGCAGGGTGCGAGCTGAAACTGAAAGAAGACGTCAAGAACGACACGCAGCTGAAATGAAGAAGAATGAAAGAGCGTGAGAGGCAAAAGGAGGCCGCCCACCGGCTGAAAATGCAGGAGGCTGACGAGCGAATGGAGCTGGAGCAGAGGGAGCACGAGAAGCGACTGGCTGAGATGCGAAGAAAGTTTGACCAACTGCAGGAGGAACGTCAGCGGGAGTGGTCACGACGTCAGCAACAGGCCAACGAGCAGCTCCGCCAGCTCCTTCAACTTCTGGTCCAGCATCGGTGGAACCAGATGATTGAAAATCGTTGGGCGAACCGACTCATGTTTTTGAGCGGGTTGAACAGACCGGTCGTTCGCGAGTTCCGAGATCTGCGGCAGATGGTTCGTTCTTTCTGAAGATCCTAGTAACTCGGAACTTTTTTCTTTCAGTTCAACCAAGTGATACTCACTGCCAATACTACAACGCAAACGTCTCGAAACCTGCAGAGTCTGGCGGTGATCACGTTTTCGAATATCATTGAAAAGTTCAATTTTGCAGTTGGCCGTTAACAGTGTCTTATCAGTTGTTAAAAACGAGATAAACACAATGGAAATCGAGTCAGACCGACTGGGCGAGTGCTTCAGGCAAAGCGGAGCACTTTTCGTCCAAGATATCCAGGTGAGAAACAAGAAAATATCTTTGGAAGCATAGAAATTGTCAGGAAAGTGTGAGTGAAGTCGTCGGGAAATGTACTGTGCTTCACGATTTGCTCGAAAAGTTCAAAGTCGAATGTGTAAGGAGCCTTTCAAGCGAATCTCGAGAGAATCTAGGGATTTTAGGCGACCGGCGTGGCTTCAACTTACTCTTTAGATAGCTCAAAAGAAGCGGAATCTCTGCTACAAAATACCGTTGGCAAAATCCCAACGATCCACTCCCTCAAGGCGAAATACCAAAATCAAAACTGGCATTATGAAGACGACGACCCGAGCGCAGTTATCATAACCGAAATCATTGATTAACCTTCAAATGAAGATTCTTAATATTTTCCTTGTTTTCTGTTCATTTTTCATTGCGGTGTCTATCCCGTGATTGTATCGTTTAACTTTGAAATAATCTTTTTTTTTCAACTTGAGGATTTAGGATGGCCGGTCAAATCGCTCCAGGCTTCCCCGAGTTTTCTGGGAATGAGGTAAGATTTCAGTGAGAAGCATGAAAATGTATCTTTTTTTCTTCAGAGCAACTCATCTAGTTCATCAGAAGAGACCAGCGGCGTTCAACGCCTTCTGAGAGATCTCAACATGTTCCCAACTCCGACACATGGTCTTGAAGCTGCAGCTGACACTTTTGAGGTTCATTATTTGGTCTCCGAAACTTCAAAGGCTTTTTTTTTGAAGGCTGGCGACTTGATCTCTGGTGTTGAAGCAGCTGCCCCTCTATTGGCTAGCACTTTCGTGAGATGAGTTCTTCTCTAGAAAAGTACTGAGAAAAGTATTTTTCAGTTGCCTCCCGACAAAGCCGTTCTCATTTCGGGGGCCACGATTCTTGGTTGTCAAGTGGCCAGACAAATCTTCGTATGTTTTTCTTTGTGCGGATCTCCAAAAAAAAAAAGCGATTTCTGTTAGCGGATAGAAAAATTCTTTCAAATGGTAAAAGTCCTTTTTATAAGATAAAATCTAGATGAGTATATGGACCAACAGATCTTCAAAAAGCTAACGTTCAAGTGGTTTCTCTCCAGGAGTTACGTGTCTATATGTTTGACCCCCTCAAGGGTATGAGGGGCCTAGAGACCATTTTTTTTAATTAACACAAAATAAAGGCATGCGGGAAAAGTCGGCCGGTCGGTTTGGAAAACTAGGCCGCGACGAAAGTTTGCTCTACGGAAAATTGAATTTCAGACTTTATTTTTCCTTTTCCTAAGATTTCCTTCCTTTTTTATCAGTTTTCTAGGAAATATTTCTCACTTCGAACTAAACTTTCTTTTTTATAATCGTATTTCTTCGGTATTATTTGCCATTTGTTGGGTTTTAATTGTTTCTCGAACTTTTTTTGTGTAGTTTACTCATGATCTCATTTTTCGATTTCTCTTGATTTTTAATTTTGCTCATTTTGTTATATGCACTTATTTTGGAAAATTATTGAGAATTTTCAAAAATTGAATCAGTTCATAATTTTTTAATGTAGTAACCATCGTATTTTGGTCTTCGCATGAGAAATCTAGACCCTGAACGAAAAAAACTCAAAATTTCATGGTAGCCTTTATTGGTTCAGATATGTTTTCTCTTTGACGAGAATTCTAAATTTTTTTTCGAAAATAATTTGAAATAAAGGTTCTGGGTGACGCCCTTGGGACTGCCGTTTTTTTGTTTTTTGGTGTGCTTTAAGTTCCTTGGTGCTGCTCTTGGGACTGCCGAAATTTCAAAAGCTCTTCGTGGTTCTGCTCTTGAGGCTGCGAAAAATCCAGAACTTTTTGAAAAAACGCTTTTCGTTTTTCAGGAAATGCTTTCAAAAAATAACTTCATCAGACGAGAGCTGAAAAAAAACTTATCTGTTTTTAATGGAAAATTTGAAAAATCTTTCAGGAATTTAAAATGCTCAAAGAGAACTGTTGTGACTCGTTCTCCCTTCGAAAACTTCAAAATACCTTAGAGCCGTAATGTGTCTGTTATTGAGTAAATAGGAAGTTGTACGGGTTCCGGGTATCCGGATACATCTAAGAGAAGTTCGATCGATCTTTGGAAAATTCCCAAAAACGATATTAAATGACATCTTTCTATCAAATATTTGGGTCTTCTTCAGAAATCTGATGGCAGTGAGCAATTGCAAACCGAGATCAACGCAGTTAATGAGATCCGAAGAACGGGACAGCAAAACCACCAAAAAATGATGGAGCGCCAACAAGAGATTCACAACCAACAATTTTCTGAAGCCGAACGGAGAAGAGAATTCAATCGTTTGGCGGAGAATGATCTGAGGAATCAAGAGGAATGGAAAGTGAAGCAAGAGGAGCTGACTCTGAATGAGCTGGCGGAGGCTAAAAAGAACGAACTTGCCGATATGAGATTCGAATTCGAAAAAAAAATGAAGGAGCTGGAGAACGGGTCGTCAGAGGAACGGCGTCGGTGTCGGAAGGTATGTTAGAACGAAAAGCCCCAAATAAGTTCCTCTCTAGGGTCCAATTTAGACTTTACATTTTCCATTCTTCCTGACAATAGTTTCTAAATTTTGAAGGTGCAGAAAATAATGCCGTCTTCGCAAAAATGGAATCCATTCTTTAGCAAAAAAAAAAAAATCGTGTTCCTCCTTATTTCTGAATAATTCTAAAGTTAAATTCTTAAAAGTTCCATATTGAAAGTTAAACGCTATCGAAAAGCCTATTTTTCTCTCAAAATGGATTAAAAAAAAAGACTTACGATAGAAAAGCTGAGTGAAAATTTTCGTAAGAGTAAATTTGATAAATTGGAAAAAATTTAAAATAAGAGTGATTGAAAAAAAAATTCGAAAAAAAAAACATTTTATTACGGCCACGATCGTGTGGTGAATTCAAAAGAAAGCGACTTCTCCGTCTTCATAAGGACTTTTTTGGGGTTACGAGAACTTTTTGATTTTCATTTTGCACAAGAAGTAAGGTTCTGAAGTCAAAACCTGCACAATTTCATCGTTTTTTGGAAAAGACGCCTAAAAAATCAAAGAAAACCCGAAACATTAGGCTCTTATTTCTCGAGAACTAAGAAGTTGTGCAGGTTGAGACTTTCAGGATCCTCATCGGATACATCAAGAAGTGTTCTGGCTAAATTTCAGGCAATTTCCAGCCGCAAAGTAAAATGAGCTCCTTTTTGAAACTTTTCACTACAGGAGTACGACGAGAGGACGGCGCTGACGAAGAAAGAGTACGAGCAGAAGCGACAGGAAAATATCTCGCGGAATGAAGCTCTGAACGTCGCCAACCTCGAGATGCAGAAGGCGTCCGAGGCGATGATCGAGAAGCACAGAATCGAGGCGAACAAACAGCGCCAAGAGCTTGTTCAACAAGCGGAGAATGTGCATCGCGAGAAACTCAACTATACGATCCAAAGTTACAATCAGCGAAGGGAAGACTCCGAAAACGCGCTCCAAAAGCAGTTGGAAGACGACAAGAAGAAAACGGCCCTTCGGATCGAGTACATCCACGTCATGACCAATATCGGCGTCCTTACCCACCAAGACTATGAAATTCTCGCTCTTCAAGCCGCCACCCAGCAATGGTACAAAGAAGTTCGCAGCCTCATCAGTAATAAGACGGTGCTCCTTCCAATGGTTTGATCATTTTCTTTCCAGGGAATTTTTAAAGATACATTTGATTGCTCGTCATATAGTCAATTTTTCCTGACTTGAAAGGCGAGGGAGGCGGGACGCGTAGCGTGTGCGTAGGCGGTTCTCGGCAGTATTTCAACTCAATTGCCAGCGACTATTTTGAAAGCCCGTTTCTCGCTCTTTTCATTCCTTCTTCATTTATTTCATGATTATGTTTATGCGTGCATCAAAAAATAGTAGGAAATTCAGAAAAAAGCGATTGTCGAGCTTTTTAAATAGTCAGCGCAGATTGAATTCAACTCGTGCCAAGAACCGCGTACGCACACGCTACGCGTCCCGCCTCCTTTGCCTTTCAAGTCGGAAGAAATTGACTATAACAGCGAATAAAAGTATTTAAAAAAGTAGATGATCTTCTTCTTCTTCTTACGCCTTTGTACCGCTTGAACGGCGTCGGCGCCCCAAGTCGATTAGCCGAGGTCCTATCCTGATAATCAGTGGACTGGCTCCAGTGACATATCCGTCCTTGTGTGTGACGGCTGGGGATTTATGAAGCCGTTGTTTCCCACTACCAACATTTCTTAAACCTCTTGGTTGGGTCGGGGCGGGGATCGAACTTGTGACCCTGTGGACCGTAGACAGGCACACAACCTGTTGCGCTACGGCAAAAAAAAAGTAGATAGAAACGGAAAAAAGAAAATCTTTGATTCCTCATATTTCTTCTTTCAAATGAAGAATTTTGAGAGATCTTTGTCAAACCTTGATCCAAAAAGTTCAGATATACAACTACAACAATGACAAGCTCAGAAATGTCGAACTTATGAAGGTTTGAAGCTAGTCATTTTCAAAAAATGATCGCTTGTACAGAAGCAGATGGGAAAGCTGACAGCAAAACGTCAACGCCGTCACTGAGCAACACGAACATGTTAGGAAAGTGCTCATTTCTGGCGGCCTTCACCAAAATCAGAATATTCTCACAAAATTCAATGTGAGTGCTCAATGAAACCAACTTTAGTAGATGTGATTTTTCACGCTGATCTTAAAAATTGCCCAATACGTCTGTGAAAAAAGTTATGCATCATCAAAAGTCGAAAGCCTGCGTCCAAAGGCCATTACCTGGTTAGCCTAGTAAAAGTTTTATAAATATTATGATTTCACTTTTCTGCAAAGCAAAAAATCGAAAAAAAAAAGATTTTATGCAAGTTCAACCGGTGGTATGAAAAAAACACCAGCGAAAATTCAAACGGCGACTTTTCCGATTTTTTCATATCGCTAGGGAACTTTCCGACGGCCACCTTTCCGACGAATCTTTTTTTCCGACTTTTTTTCTCGATAAAATCTTCGTTTTAAATCTTCCTATATAAAAATAGGTAGTTGGTTTATGATTAAAAACACAAAGAAATAGAAAAAAAGGTTTATAGATGTTTTATAAACCAAAAAAACATAAGGGAAAATAGTCGCAAAAGGATCCGTCGGAAAGGTGGCCGTCGGAAAGTTCCCTAGCGATATAAAAAAATCGGAAAAGTCGCCGTTTGAATTTTCGCTGGTGTTTTTTTCATACCACCGTTCAACCAAGTGAAATCTTGCTCAATTTTTGTCAAAATTTTATAAAATTGTGTTCTACTCAAGCTTTGGCTGGTACAAGTTCAAAAAAGTACCCTTCTACTGGAAAAAAAGAGATTTCACTCAGGTTCAGTCTAGTTATAGTTGTGTCCACAAAGGAAAAATTCTTTTCGTGAGCTCCGTAGATAATAAAATTCAAAAGAGAATATATCATTCTAGTCTAGTATAATAAAAACTGCCAAACCAAGTTTCGACTGGTAGATGATTGAAAAAAGATATTGCCCAAAAACACTGATTTTCAGACGGCCCGAGATGCGGTTGGTCCTGCCTTGAAGATGATTCTAGACACGGTCTTACCCGTCCACATATGCCTTTCCGTTAGTTTTATTTTAAATATTTGACGTCTTGAAAAAGTCTGGACGCATTTAGAATGGCTGATATAGGTCATTCCGCGCCAGCTTGTCACGATTTTAAATTTCCTCAAAGCTAGAGAGCCCATTTCGGCGCTTCGCTTCGATGCTCTCGGTGTGCCCTCTTACGTGCGCCTTTAATAAAACTCATTATTTCTGATTAAGATATTTCCTCTATCTCTTTTATTAATTTACGATTTTCTTTTTTTTTTACAAATCCAGCACAGAATCTGAGTGTGTATAGTTAAAGCGAAAAATGAAATCAATCCATTAAAAACAACCTCGTAAATTAATAAAAGAGATAGAGGAAATATCTTAATCAGAAATAATGTTTTATTAAAGGCGCACGCAAGGGGGAACACCGAGAGCATCGAAGCGAAGCGCCGAAATAGGTTCTCTAGCCCCGAGGAAATTTAAAATCGTGAAAAGCTGGCGCGAAATGACCTATATAAAAATGCAAATGACGCTTAAAGTATCGTCAAGCGCCTTATTTCTGTTTTCAAAGCGAGAAAACCGTTTTGAGTCGGTTGCAGAAGGGGTTTAGCTATCCCCCGTGCTCACGTTGCTTCGAATCCGACTTATAGACTCTATCACGCAGGCCATTTGTCAAAACTTCAAATTATCCGATTTCTCTGCGCTCTCACTACCTCGCCGATGAGGGAAAAGAGACGCAGAGAGGTCAGACTGTTTCAAGTTGTTTTCCAAAGTTCATTTTCGCTTTTATCACCTCTTTAGCGGTCAGTTAACCTCATAGACCGTTCCAAAATTTCGGAAAAAAACAATATTTTTTCAGACCCTCCAAGAATTGGACCACAAAATCATCAGCGGACCGATTGAGCGTCTGGAAGCCTCGCTTGTGAAAATTCCAGAGCTTAAAATTGAGCAGAGAGCCTTGAAAGAAGCTATGCATACGTTTGAAGATCAAAAGAAAGCTTTGGAGGCTTCGCAAAAACCTGCGATCGAGAACCGACCCGTTCAGTAATTCATCATTGGTCACAACTTTTTTTTTTATCCTATGACATTTTTTCCATGTACAAGCAGCCCTATTTTATCAACAAACTGCGCTACAAGGAGACGTCTTGAAGAACTTGCCATTTTCCTATCCAAATTGCCTCAATGATCGTATGGATTGAAATAAATTTTCATAACATGATTTTATTTTATTATTGTTTTTTCGTACGGTTTGCAAACCGATTCATTACATTTCAAGTTAAAAAGACTTCTTTCAAATATATTTGCAGCCGTTTTAATCCGCCGGATCGGTCATGGGGAACCTTGTGAGTTATTACATTCGAATCGAAAACTTCCATGTTGTGGTCTCTTTTCAGCTTTCCTGTATTTTTCGGCAATTTCGCATCGCGTTCAATTCAATACTTCTCCTCATTTTGCGATTGAAAGATGTAATTTGGTTGAGCTTTTCCTACAAGGGAGGTCATTGAAATTCAGTTTTCCGGAAGTGGTCAGAACACATTTTGATATAAAAGATATAGGCTCTAAAAGGACCTGCGGAATTCCTCCAAATTCTGAGAAAGGACACCTCAAAGTCATAAAAACCAACCGAAACCAGGTCATTTTGATATTGTGAAGAACTTTTTTTTTGAATGGAATTTTTGCAATTAGAGTTTTTCAGAAGCTGTGGAAGAGTAATCTGGCCAATTTTCGAAAACGATTACCTCCCTTGGTTTTGTGTTTCTTAAAACCTGGTAGTATCTGAAAAAATTCTAAAAATTATTCTGCGAATTACAGTGGTGCTGTCCTTCTGACAACAGCAACCGTAACGACGAGGAAAATGAAGCAGAAAGAATTATCCGTAGACATCAGAGGGACCAACAAAGACTTCAGGAAGAGCACGAGGAAAGACTGAGAGCTCTCGAACGTGCCGGGTATGACGAGATGGAAAGAAGAAGAGAAATTGAGCGACAGGAGCGGGAAAATGACGAAAACTTGAGACAGCAAGCTCGAACCCAACGAATTAGAGAAGAAAAGGAGCAGGAAGCAGCTCGAAAGGCCCGGATGGAAGCTCAGAATGAAGAGCACCGCAGGAAAATGAGAAAACTCCAGGAAGATTCCGACAAAAAGATAGCCGAGCTGAAATGGAACTCGGAGCAGAAGTCGGCGAGAGACCTGCAGGAGTACCAGGAAAACTGCAGAAGAACTCAAGAACTTGAGAGAAAACGTCAGGAAGAGTTCGAAAGAGATCGGGATTCCTGGCAGGCTGCGGAACAAGCCAAAGAGGCTCGTCATCAAGCTGATATGAGATCGAGAGACGAGAGAATGGCTCAGGAGCAGCTGGAGCACGAGAAGAGAATGAGGAAGATCAAGGAAGATGCGGAAGAAGTTCAGCGGGAGCAGTATCGACGTTGGGAAGAACGACAAAAACTGGCCAACGCTCAGCTCCGGGAGCTCTTCGAAATGGTTCTCCAAAGACGCTGGAATCAGATGATCGAAAATCGGTGGGCGAATCAGCTATGCTTCCTTCGAGGCGCCAACCGACCTGTCGCCAGGGAGTTCCGAGATTTGCACCAGCAGGTGAGAAGCCTTCTCAACAACTGGAAGATCACCTGACTAGAGAGAGAATAAAGAGCTGCTCAGCTAGCACATATTTATGGATGAACTTGAGAAAAATTGACAAAGGATGCAATTTCATTCTACATTTTGGAATCTTTCCAGCCCAAAAAATGGATAACTTTCAGACTACCGAAAATATAGAAAGGAGGGTGCTACGACAAGAGCGAGTTTTTCATTTGCGGGGAGTACTGTATGCGGAAATGCGCATTGAGTGCATACACTTTGAGTTTTTTTTCGAATAGTTTTCAACTTTTTTTTCGTTTTTTTCAAGATTTGCATTTTTCTCGAGGATATTTGCACGATAAAAACCGTATCAAAAAAAAATTGAAAAGTATTGGAAAAAAAAAAACTCGGAGATGTCCTAAAATGAAAGTGTAAACACGCAAAGTGTATGCACGCAATGCGCATATCCGCATACAGTACTCCCCGCAAATGGAAAACTCTTTCTTGTCGTAGCACCAAAAGGAGAAGAATGAGTGACGGAAGTTGACAGTTTCAGACGAAATAAAAACCAGCTTGTCCTACTGAATTCTTAAAAATTGAAAAAGAGGCACTTTCTAGTTTGTCTGCATTTTCCACCTTCTTTTCTAAAGCTTCTAATTTAATGTGAATTTTTAGTTCAACGCGACTGTGTTGCAACAAAACAAAGAGAAGAATCTTCAATATATAGCGGTAAACTAATTGATTTCCAACAATTTCAAGTTGAATTCGATTCAGATGTCAGTGAATGTCGTGATTTCGGCACTCGACAATGAAATCGAAACAATGAATAGAGAGGAGAGCGTTTAGAAGATTATTATAGACAGACGGGCGCCGAGTTCTTGCGGGAAATTCAGGTTGGATCAATTGAGAAAAAAAAGGAGTTTTTTTCTTTCAGAGAAGCACCGACGACGTTGCCGAAAAGTGCCAGGCGCTCAAAACCGCTCTCATAAGTTTCCGTGGCGAATGTGTTAGTTATCCTCTTGGAAGTTCGGCGAAAATGATCCGAATTTTAGGAAAGAGGTACCGCCAGTTCTCTAGCTACTGCCAAGTCTTTGGCAGACGATCTTGAACGAAATGTCGCTAAAATTCCAACGATTCACCAGCTCAAAGAGAAATTCGAAGGCTCGTGGAATAATCCGGCCAGAGAAGATGATTACCAAGGGTCCAATGTTTTCATTACTGAAGTCATCGATTGATCTATCTCATTATCATTTTGAAAGGTGTGCTCGGATTGTACGTTCATAATAAAGAAAATAATTTTTTTTTCTTTTCTCAGAGCAGTTTCACGTGCGATCGAATCTTCGAAAAATTAAAAATCTTTCTCAAGACTTCCAGTCACACAAAATTCAACTCTTTCGAGTTTATGAGCGATTTCTGCAAATAAATCCAACTGTTCCGAAGTCACTCAGTTTGTAAAACAAGCTCTGAAACTCCTAAAAAGTCGGAATACACAAATAAATTCAATTTGCAGCTTTCAAAAATTCAAAAATTTCTGTGAATGGATTCAACTCTTCAAAGTTATGAGCATGGGATTCCTTATAAATTCGAGAATTAAAGCTAGAGAGGAGTTTTGGAAGTTGAAAAACTCGAAATTTTCGGTTTGCAGATTTCAAAAAAATCAATAAACGCTAAAAGTCTTCGTCGGTTTATGAGATTTCCTCATTATTTGCCAGACAATCTACCAAAAGATTAAATTCCCGAATATACAAATAAAATAAATGAATAAAACTTACAGGCTCGGACGATTTTTCCCATTTTTTTTCTAACGATTGACAAACGTTGAATCTCGATTTTTTCATGCTTCTGGCCATTGATTTTCACTGAAAGATACAATTTTAGGGAGTTTAGATCAAACCTGAGGGAAAAAGATGCCTGCTTTCGGCACAAAAAAACCGTTCTCCATGAAGAAAAAAACTTATTAGATAAATAAATTGTTCGGTTTTACCTAGCAACTCTCTTATCCTTATAGGGGACACTCTGGCATTCTTAAAATTTTCCCAAATTTTATTTTCTAACAGTCCACCATCGCTCTTTCGATCGTGATTTTTCGGCTCTCTCGGAATAAATTTTTCTCACGGCCTCCAAACCAATAGATTGAAATCGACACATGAGTTCTTATCATTGACAAACATTTTTCTCTCTTCTCTCTGCTTTATTTCCGCACTCACTATCGTGAAGCTTGCTCATTCTATCGTCGTTCTAAACTAGGCTGACAAATTTCTTCACTTTTCCCTTCCAAATTGTGTTGCGCTGTTTCTAAATGCCTTTTTTTTTGAACAAATCTCTATGGTTCCGAAAATTTAAAGAGTTGATTTCAGAAGTAGAAAAATTGTTGCACTTTCTGTCCGTGGTATAGTCAATGTTTCCCGACTTGAAAGGCGTGGGAGGCGGGGCAAGGGGCGGGACGCGTAGCGTGTCCGTTCGCGGTCCTTGGCACGTGTTCAATTCAACCGCCATCCACTCTTTTTCGCTCTTTTCATTTTTTTTTAAATTATTTATTGATTATGTTCACATGTTCATCAAAAAATAGTAGAAAACATTGAAAAAGAGCGGTTGCCGAGCTTTTTAAACATCCGGAGGAAATTAAATTGAACTCGTGCCAAGAACCGCGAACGCACACGCTACGCGTCCCGCCCCTTGCCCCGCCTCCCTCGCCTTTCAAGTCGGGAAACATTGACTATAATCTTCATCCTATATTGCGAAATCAATACACTGGCCCTTGAAAAATTTCAAAAATAGAGCTTCAAAATTCCGTTGAAGCCGTTCGAGAAAATTCATTATTCGAACCCTTTTTAGAGTTTTTTTTTTCCAAGCCAACAATCATTCATTTTTTTTTCTCGCTCCATTTCGCCTTAGAAATTTCCGAGCTCCCTTGATTTCTTCATTTTATTGTGAATAAGTTTTCAATTTCTCCGGAAATTTTTCAAGTGAATAATGGAAACCTTTTGACGGTATCTTTCAAGAAACAAGAGGAAGACCGTCGTTATCAGATGAAAAGACGGTGTAAGCCTACTTTTTTTATCATTTCCAGCTCATTTTCTCTTCTAAACTCTGTTCTCAATTCTGTTACGATTTTTTTCAATTTCAAAAACTGAATTCTTGGAACATGGTTCACACCACAAAAGATCTTCTTTTTTAATTTTTTCAATCTTTTCAGTGGGTAAATTTTATTAACGGTTTTTTTTCTATTGGGAAAAAAAGTTCTTTTTCTCGTTTTTTCTCCATCAAAAATGAATACATAAGGTGTGGAAACTTGTGAATGATAAAGAATCCAAAAAAATCTTTGGCTCTCGTTTTGAACGAGGGTTCCTATTCTATCGGGATCATAGTGACATTATAACCGACTATGGATAAAACAATCTGACGGGCAGTTCAAAAGTTTTGAGATGTCTTTGGGATTTCGCATAGAACAGTCAGAAAAGATACGACAAAAGGGTATCGGTCACAACTGTTTTGTAAGAAATTCAATTTTTCTGAAACTTTTTGGACTTGTGATATAGTCAATGTTTCCCGACTTGAAAGGCGAAGGAGGCGGGGCAAGGGGCGGGACGCGTAGCGTGTGCGTACGCGGTTCGTGGCACGAGTTCAACTCATTTGTCGCCGACTATTTAAAAAGCTCGGCAACCGCTCTTTTTCGATGTTTTCTACTATTTTTTTCTGATGCAAACACAAACATAATCAATAAATAATTGAAAAAAAGGAATGAAAAAAAGCGAAAAAGCGGGCTTTTTCAAGAGTCGATGGCGGTTGAATTGAACACGTGTCAAGGACCGCGAACGCACACGCTACGCGTCCCGCCCCTTGCCACGCCTCCCACGCCTTTCAAGTCGGGAAACATTGACTATAACTGTTATTTTTAACAATCGCATGAAGTTTCAGTACACAAAAAAACGCAGCTTCAGAAACTTTCCGGAAAGTTGAATTTCTTAGAAGGAAGTTGTGCCCGTCGTCGCGTTTTATCGTATCTTTTCTGAAAATACTGTACTTTAAAAGCCCTTCAATCTTCGGAAACCGTTCCACAAAAAAAAAACAATTGGAATGAGGGTCTACTTTATAGATTTTTGGATCTATTTTCGTGACGGGAAGATGAACACGCCACAAAATCTTCAAGAAGGTACTCCGAGGGAAAAGGTGGGTTATTCACAATCTAAACGAACATTTTGAATCTTCAGGCTCAATGTCTGTTGTATGAAGAAATCCGCGAAACCGACAGCATAATCCGGGATTTGACGAGAAAAATTCTCAACAGCGAAGAGTTGATAAAGAACATCCAACTGGAAAAAGAATCAGATGTCAAACGTCTCAAGGAAGTTGAAACCCGTCGAATCGAAAAAGCAACGAGAGGAAAGAATACACTTCGGAACAAAGGATAGAGGAAATAGAAAACTTCTCTGAAGCGAAAGAAAAGACTTGAAGAATGGAAAATAAGCTTTTACAAAGACTACAGCGTGCGGCTGAATCGTCAACGCGAGGATATGGTGGATAATATAAAAGGATTTCGGGGCCCGTTTTTCATGCACCAATTTTTCTCGAAGAGTCCGAAAAATCAGGTAAAACCCATGAAAATCGGCAAATCATGATTATTTCCCCAGAACCCACCATCAACGGATGCAGAATGGATCCAACGAGTCTTGAGCCTCGCAGAAAATTCTCTTCGCCAAATTAACCAGAAAATGAAGGAGCTGGCAAAAAAAAGACAAATTATCGATGGAGAAATGCAACAACGGGCACAAAAATTTCGTGACTATGAGGATAATATACAAAAAATGGAAGCAAACCATCTCGGTTCACACCCTGAGCAAGACGAAGACTTGAGAGAAGAACAACGCTTAATACATAAATTCGAAATTGAATGGACCTCGAGAAACTGGATTTATCGAAAGAGATTTGAAATCTTTGGCTGATTTTATGCATCAACAATATGACAGAAAATGGCAATACTGGAATGAAATGAATAAATTAAAAGAGATAATCGATAACACCACTGAAATCAGCCCTTCAAGTACTACAGCGAACACTTCTGACCTGCAAACACTTCGCTTCCATAGAGTGAGTGAGGTAGAATACTTATGAAACGATCGAACAAAAAAAAAAAACAACTATTCAGCAAAAACCAGCTTCGCAATTTCAACATCAGACTATTCACGAAGGTCACTCTCCCACGGTCCGTTTCCATATTTTGAAAAAAAAAAATCTTCTTTTTTTATCATCAAAAAGTCTTATGAATTTATAGATTATGCATAGATTTGAAAACCCAGGGAGGAGCTCCTCAACCATCTCAGTTCAATCTTCCGGTTCGAAAACTCCAGCCACAAATCATAGATCCAGAAGATAAAAAACGACTTGACCAGGTTATCGAGCAGCAAAAGGTCGTTCTTCCAATAATTTTTATATGTGATTTTAAAAATTCGACAGATTCGAAAAGAAGTCAAAGAGCAAACGAAGGACATGAGTCTTGCCGAGTTGATGAGCAAATTTGGAATACAGGTAGAGTGTAGAAATCGATCAGAAAGACCAAAAAAACTCAATAATAAACTCTCAGGTTTTTGGACTACAGTAACTATATTTTTTTTGGCAATATCTGTTGAGAATACTGTACAGAAAAGCAGAAAAAACTTAAAATCGTCAAAGTTTTCCTTGTTCGAAGACATTGTTTTTTGGGCTGACTTTTCAAATCTTTCACATTTCCTTCGAGCTAAATTGAAATAACCAGGAAATGGTCTCCGGTCGGACCCCTGAATGAGACCAAGTTTGCTAGATGTAATTTTTCACGCTGATTTCAAATCTGGTCTTGAAAACCGCCGAGGAGATCTGTGAAAAACGTTATGTACCCTCAAAAGTCGAAAATTTCCTTGTCTCCGATTGAGCTCAATTTTTGAGCATGTACAGATCTCGTTCCTCTGAGAACACAAAACGACTAGCTCTTGCATTTCGTCGCAATAATTAATCCCCTGCATGAGAAGAAAAGCTGGTATAAAATTACGAGATTTTGATTTTGAGAAATTTCAAAAGTTTCGTAAAATTTGAAAAAATACTTGCTGAATGTATCAAATCAACATCAAAACTATCACATCTATCTCTGAAAGTTATCATTACGCTGTTAAGATAAATAATACTACCGACTCTGACGATCCGTCACAAAATTCCCCAGGTGAGAAGCCGATGAACACTTCGGAACGGGTTCGTGAAGTTTGATCTGAAAATAGTTTCCTCTGATCTTTCAGACATCTACTCCAGAACAGGAAACCACAACCAAACCAAGAGGAAAAACTCTCCCGAGATTCGAATTTCTCAGAACCTATCCCTCACAGGTTATGAATATTCTAGTGCACAAGAACAATTTGTACTTATCCAGTTCGAACTGAAAAAAGAACCCGAAACACCAAGAAACACTGGCTTCGAGGGCGGTTATCCCTCCAGTCAACTTTTTTTAAACGTAAGTTTGGAGGAGTCTTCATAAAGTACCAATAAAATGTTAAGAGAGTTGAAAATAGCTTCTCCAGCTCTTCTGGAACCATGGGGATTTCGAACCGACATGAAGAAGTTCCGAAAGAAGATTGGACCGCTAAAAGTATTTTTGAGGTATTCAATCAAATTGAAAAAAATAATTTCCATGAGAAAGATATTTTTTTCAGACTTTCTAACTACTCAGCCACCTCTGTTCCTTCGCATAAAAATTATAACGTCAAAGTTGCAGACCTGACCGATTCAAAAAGAGCTGACCAGGTAAGAAAAAAAACCTCCGTTTCTTATAGATATTTCTTTTTTTGTTGAACTGAAAAAAAAGATTAAATTAAAAATTCTCGATAACGACCAGAAAAACTGCAAACTCAGATGGGAGAAGTCGCGGTTAACACTGGGAAAACCTGGAAAAGCCAATCCACAAACAGAGAAACACGTTTCATGAGTGAGTCTTGATTCAATAAGTTTCAGCTTTACGAGCTTTCAGAGGAAATTCCAGCCTATCCATTTTCTGATGAAACCCAAGCTCGCCCCACAGAATATCAAAACAGGAAACGAAGTTTATCAGAGTTCATTCCTGGCTGGAACGTTTTGATTCAGACATCGTCAAAGTTCGAGAATCTCTCGAAGGAATCAAATGAAAGTGAATCAGTGGATCAAAATCCGAAAGGATAACCATTACCGTCTGCAACGCACATGCATCTTCCAATCGATATCGGAAAAGCTTTCAGGTCGTTCTCAGGAGATTTTCGAGGCTGAAACTTCTCGAGATAACATTCAAACTTCCCAAATCGAGGATTCCGACGACAAAAATGAGAAAATCGTCCAAAAACCGTCAAAAGGCCACAAAGAACTCCCGAAAAGTACAGAAAATTCGGAATCTATCCAGGGTCCAAGCCAATCCAGCAATGAGGTGAAAAGTTTTTCTTTAAAAGATGTAAAATTGAGTAAAATCATTTTAGGAAATAAGCTATTCGCCTTATCGATATGAGCTCAATGAAAGTCTTGAGCGTTCCCAGCAAAGTCAAGGTTTCATTTTTGATTCTGATCCAAACTGATTTTCGCACTTCAGAAACGATTCAAAAAGACAGTCCTCCACTTTTCTCCGAGGTTCAGAAAGAAAAAGAACGCGTGGAGTCTGCATTATCGTCTCAAAAGGTCTTGATTGAAGGCGAGATGTGAAAAATAAAAAAAACTTTCAGAACCTACCGGATCGAGTGAAAGAGCTTCTGAAACAAGCAGAAAGAAAACGCGATGAGACTCGTCGACAATATGAAGATGAGAAAGTCAGGAGGGAAAAAATCAGAGAAGAAAAACGGCTGCAATTGGAAGAGCTTGAAAGGAAAGACCGCGAAAAAGAAGAAGAAGCAGCTCGAGAACTGGCCGAACTTGATAAGAGGATCCAAGACGACGAGCGAAAGAGCCAAAAGGTTATCCATTGAAAAATAATCGACACCTTTATTTGAAACGATTTCGAAGCGCAAACTGACTAGTGAGATTTGCGCAAGTTTGCTTTAGGACCTCTTAGTTACGGAAAAACACAAAAAAAATCTCCCGACGTTCACGTTATCGACGACTATGAAGGAAAAGCCGGAAAATATCATTTTGTTTGGGAACCAGAGTGTTCTGAATGAGACGACAACACATTTCCATCGATAGTTCAACTAGAGACTATAAAATTACCTTCCGATTCGTCAAAAAACTTGATTTTGTGCAAGTGTTTCAGTGGTCTTCGACAAAAGAGAGCTCAGAAAAAGATGAAAGAAGGGAAATCGAGGAAAGAGATACGCAAAACTGAAGAAAGGAAGCAAGCGTTGCTGGAAAAACTGAAAGAACTCGAACCTTTTCAGAACGACGAAATCACCGGAAGAAAAGGTCAGTTTTGCGTATATTCATTCGAATGAAACTGTACGATGCCGACAAGTTTAGGTTGAACCGTCTCAAGCAGAAATAGAACTTATAGCAAATTCCACGGACGAAGTGATCAGAGAAATACAGGAAAAAAGTTCATTAGAACTCGAAAAAATTCGGCGGCGATGTGAAAAAGAGAGACTGGCGAGAAAAAGAGTCCGAGATGAACAACAACAGCGGTTAGAAGAACTTAGAAGACAAGAACAAGAAATCGATGAAGAATCGGCTCGGAAACTTGCCGAGTTTCAGGAAAATCTAGTTCGGGAGAAGATCCAAGAAGGGCAGAATAAAGAAGAAGAAGCAGCCAGAAAAGGTCGTCGAGCAGAAAAGGAGCTCTGAAGCTTGCGAAAATTCAATCATTAATATTCGATGCATTTCTATTATTCATTATCAATAAAAATGGATCAAGTATTCTTAATCTGTGGAACATGGTTCATACCATGCGATATTTGAAAAAGATTCTTGAAATCTTGTCATTCGGTAAAATCTAGTTGAATCGCCTTCTACTTTAAAAAATAACTTGGAATTTATACCTAGACAAAAATCACCTATTTTGAGCGAATATGGTTTTTTAGCCTATTTGATGGTTAGTGAAGAGAAGCAAGAGTTCTTGCTTAAAAAATAAAATCCCTGACTTTTCAAATTTTCAGTTCAGAAAAGTGATTGAAATATGCCATACTATGGCCAAGGGAACAGAACGCCGATGGAAAAAGTAAGTATCCGATTTCGAACTTGGGAGAAAATTTTGAATATTTAGGCTCGCGGCTTGTTGATCGCTGAAATCGACAGAAAAAATGAGATTATCAAATATTTGGAGATGGATATGTTCGACAAAAAGAGGATGTTCATTGGAAACATCGAAACCGAAGAAAATATCCGAATTAAAACACTTCGAGGAAGAGAGGGAACGAAATCTTCGCAATTGCAAAATGGAGCTTGAACGTTTGAGAGGAAAATATTTTCGTGAAAAAGAAGAGGACGCGGAATTGGAAATGAGAAAAATAGATGAACTATCAAATGAGCGGATGAAAGTAGTCAAAGAAAACTCCCGTTGGGCAAAGAAACGTGTCGGAGACCTTTACGGGAGCTTTTATGAATCCTTCATTGTTTTGATGGGAAAACAACTGGAGAGCATGAAAAAGGATCTGGAAGAATTCCCGGAAAGGAAATCAACTGCACTTATCTCCTCCAGTTTTGAACAACAGGTACGGAACAAAAATAAGATAAAAAAAAGGAAACGCAGGAAATTTCAGAAGTTCTTACAATTGGGATGGATTGAACGAGTTCTGAACCAAGCAGGTTCTGCTGTTGAACAACTTTACTATTCAAGGGTACGCTTGCAAGCAAAAAGCCAAGAAATCGACAAAGAAGCGAAGTTATGGATAGAAGACGAGTGCGAAATTTGTAAGCAGCATATCAAAACTCTGAAAAAGGACGTTTGCTGGAAATGCGTAACCGCTTTTTGCAACTGCAAAAAATGTAAAACATTGAAGAAAGATATCGCAACACGACAAATAGTTCGCGATTTACACGTTGAGTGGATCGAAAAAAATTGCAACTACCAAAAAGCCGTCATGAAATCGTTGGATGACATTTTGAAAGTACAAGGAGGCACAAAAAATCAATTCTGGGATTTGGTTGATAGTATCAAAAAAGAAATCGAAAATGGCAGTGAATTCGAATCTATGCCAAGTACTCCATCAAGCTTGTCACACTCGAAAATGTTCGCCTCGTACGAAAAGACAGAGGTTCGTCAGTTTTCACTTAATCAATAAAAAAAGTCGATTTCAAATTAAATACACTGACCAAACTCAACTTTGCATCAAATATAACAATCTTAATAAGTTCTCAACCGTGAGTTTTTACGTCTTCAGAACTGACATATTATGAAAAAGTCAGCAGTATTTTTTTTTCGAGGAGTTGAAAGCTATCCTATAGATTTTGGATAGCAAGGAGTACATATTAGCATGTTTAGACATTTGCTTCTTGTTCAAATCAATATTCTGGTGGAAGTTACAAAGTTCCGGTTGCTTTTTCGACTCCAATTTATCCGTCGAATGCCAAAGATCCAGAACAAAAAAAACTACTTGACCAGGTTATCGAACAGCAAAAGGTTGTTTATTCAACAATTTTCACGTATGTAAATTCAAAAATTCGGCAGATTCGAAAAGAAGCCGAAGAGCAAACGAAGGACATGAGTCTTGCCGAGTTGATGAGCAAGTTTGGCATAGAGGTACAAAGTTAAAAATCAAGTAGTACAGAAAGGAAAAGTTCAAAGATCGTTGGACTACAGAAGTGGGCGAAAATATGGGACGGCTACTAACTAACTTACTTATTCAAAGTAATTACTTTGAGTAAAGTTTTCTGCGCCGGAACTTTTTGTTGGAATGGAATCCCGACTTTTTTTCGTCTTTTTGTGTAGCATAGTGTCTATTGAACAGTCCGGATACTGCAGGGATATCCAACAAAAATTTTGGCAACCATCGCTCAAGCAAAAATGAAGCAGCGAAACACAGAATAGTATTAGTAGCTCGGACGTAGTTGATTTCTAGTTATATATATATAGTTTATTCACTGCCGTTATTTACAGGAAAAAAAATAATTAAAGAATAAATGAACAAGTGAAGGATGGGCAGAGAAATAACAATACACGGGAAAGAGTCAGCCTCAACGAGTTGACAGGTACCCGGAAATATGACAAATTCGTAGGAGACGAGAGGGGATATTTTCATTTAAAAACTTCAAAAGGAAGAGCGTTTAACTTTTTACGAAGAAATTCTGGGGTAACGTTAAAATATAAATAAGAAGTTAGTTTATTCCAAAGAGGAATAGTTCTAGTAAAGAAGTCATTAGACGTGTTGAACAAGGTGCTCTTTGTTAACGAGCTGTCAGACATTGAAAAGGTGTCTGATCTCAAAAGCTCGTTCGATCTTTTCCCAAGGCTCTCAAAAAACCAGAAAAAAGGCTGGACCGTCAAAAAAGCTTTTTCAAGAAAAATGCATGATTCAGTCATCTCCGTTTCTTCTGGATCCTGACCCGAACACATATCTTAACAAAACAGCGCTCCTTTCGCTCCTTTTCTGCGTCACGATCAAAGCCGGTTTACGGCTTCGTTAAGCGCTGGCAGACTCTTATGCGACGCTCCCAACGTCAATTATTTATCTAGTAACCCAATGAAAAAACAAGATCAATGAAGTCCTACTAATCAACATTACTTCAAATCATCTCGAAATGTGCAATCGAGATTATTGTAAATAACAAGGAGTTAAACTTCAAAATGCTTTAAGATAAATAATACTACCGACTCTGACGATCGGTCACAAAATTCCCCAGATGAGAAGCCGATGGACACTTCGGAACGGGTTCGTGAAGTTTGATCTGAAAATAGTTTCTTTTGATTTTTCAGCCTACTACTCCAGAACAGGAAACTACACCCAAAACAAGAGTAAAAACTCTCCCGAGATTCGAATTTCTCAGAACGTATCCCTCACAGGTTCTGAATATTCTAGAGCACAAGAACTATTTGTACTTATCCAGTTCGAACTGAAAAAAGAACCCGAAACACTTAGAAACACTGGGTTCGAGAACGACTATCCATTCGGTCCTCCTTGTTTCAAAAGTAAGTTTGAAAAAATCATCAAAAAATGAATAGAATGTTGAGAGAGTTGAAAACAGCTACTCTTCTGGAACCATGGGAAGTTCTAGTTTTTCAAGCCGGTATGAACTTCCGAAAAGTACAGAAAAATCGGGATCTATCCAAGGTCCAAGACAATCCAGCAATAAGGTGAGAAACTTGTATTTGATAGAAAATGAATTTCGAAGAATCATTTCAGGAAATCAGCGATTCGCCTTATCGATATGAGCTCACTGAAAGTCTTGAGCGCTCCCAACAAAGTCAAGGTTTCATTTTTTTCGATTTGGATCCAAACTGATTTTCACAGTTCAGAAAACGATTCAAATGGACAGTCCCCGACCTTTCTCAGAGACTCGAAAAGAAAAAGAACGCGTGGAGACTGCATTATCGTCTCAAAAGGTCCTGATTGAACGCGAGATGTGAGAAATAAAAAAAACTTTCAGAACCTACCGGATCGAGTGAAAGAGCTTTTGGAAAAAGCAGAAAGAAAACGCGATGAGACTCGTCGACAATATGAAAACGAGAAATCCAGGGGACAACAAATCAGAAAAGAAAAACGGCTACAATTGGAAGAGCTTGAAAGGAAAGACCGCGAAAAAGAAGAAAAAGCAGCCCGAGAACTGGCCGAACTTTCGATAAAGAGGTTCCATGACGACGAGCAAAAAGAGCCCAGAAAGGTTTTTTTCATTTCACTACAACTAACTCTTAAAAATAACTCTTTTTTCTTATAATGGGGAATTTTTAGAATTTTGAGTTTTCCTTCGAGTACTGCTTTTAGTCCTTTTGGAGGGATTTGAAAAAAAGAAATAGACAATTTCATGAAGTTCTCAAGTAAATTTAAAAATTGTCTTAGATCCTGGGAATTTCCTTTCCGAACCCAGCATAAATACTGAACAAATAAGACTCAAAAACGAGGAGATAAAGTTATCAACACGCTGTTGAGATAAATAATACTCCCAATTCTGAAAAGTCGTCACAAAATCCACCCGGTGAGAAAGCCGATGAACACTTCGGAACGGGTTCGTGAAGATTAAAATTCCACAGTTCCCTTTGATTTTCCAGCCAACTACTCCAGAACAGGAAACTACACCCAAAACAAGAGGAAAAACTCTCCCGAGATTCGAATTTCTCAGAACGTATCCCTCACAGGTTATGAATATTCTAGAGCACAAGAACTATTTGTACTTATCCAGTTCGAACTGAAAAAAGAACCCGAAACACCAAGAAACACTGGTTTCGAGGGTGATTATCCCTCCAGTCAACTTTTTTCAAACGTAAGTTTGGAGGAGCCTTCATAAAGTACCAATAAAATTTTAAGAGAGTTGAAAATAGCTGCTCCAGCTCTTCTGGAACCATGGGGATTTCAAACTTTTCGAGCCGACATGAAGAAGTTCCAAAACAAAATTGGACAACAAAAAATAATTTTGAGGTATTCAATCAAATTGAAAAAAATAATTTTCATGAGAAAGATATTTTTCAGACTTCTAACTACTCAGCCACCTCTGTTCCTTCGCATAAAAAAATTATAACGTCAAAGTTTGCAGACTCTGACCGATTCAGAAAAGAGCCGACCAGGGTAAGAAAAAAACCTCCGTTTCTTATAGATATTTATCTGTTTTGTTGAACTGAAAAAAAGATTAAATTAAAAAAATTTTTGACAACGACCTGAAAAAAACTGCAAACTCAGATGGGAAGAAGTCGCAGTTAACACTGGGAAAATCTGGAAAAGCCAATCCACAAACAGAGAAACACGTTTCATGAGTGAGTCTTGATTCAATAAGTTTCAGCTTTACGAGCTTTCAGAGGAAATTCTAGCCCTATCCAACTTCTGATGAAACTCAAGCTCGTCACGATGATTTTAGAATAAGAAACAAAGTTTATTATGGGAATTCGACCGTTTCCGTACAATTATTGCAGGAAATCAGAGCTTTTGGTGTATATGAAGTTTAGGAATCATCGGATCGAGTGAAAGAAATCCTGGAACAGACTGAGAGAAAACGCGAAGAAACCCGTAAACGATACGAAGAAGAGAAAGTCAGAAGGGAAAAAAGCAGAGAAGAAAAACGGCTGCAATTGGAAGAACTGAAACGGAAAGAACAAGAGATCGATGACAAATCGGCTCGACAACTTGAAGAACTTGAAAAAAGACTCGCCGATGAGGAGATTCAGGAGTTGCAGAGGAAGAAGAAGATCGAAGAAGAAGCCGCCGAGAGAAGCCTCCGAGAAGAAAAAGAACGAAAAAGAGCTGAGGAAGCCTGGAATCGGGTCATAGCTCAGATCAAGCGGAACATGTTCGTCGAATCAAAATGGGATAAATGGTTCGGCCAACTTCGCGACGCTGTTTCTCCTCTCATTACCAGCTTAAGGAAAGTCTTGTTCGATGTGAAGGTGAGCAAAAAACTCAATTAGCCCAGGAACAAAGATTGACTAAAAATTCGTTTTTCTCTTTTTGAAAGCTGCCGCTTTTGCAGCTGACGTGCAAAGCGTACGCGATGCGTTTTTGGGGCCGATTCGAAAAATTGATGCATTTTTTATTTTTCTCAGGTATCTTTTTGACGAAATTAATCAATTACTTGAAATGATTTCCATAGAAGATGCTTTGACATTGTATATCTAGGGGGCGCAAAGCCCCGCCCCTTCACGCCACCAAAATGACGATTTTTTTTGTTGCAAAAAAACAGTTTTGAGGCGTTTATACTAGCTAAAGTCCAACTTTGAAAATGAACTGTTTATCTTAATCTATGTAATCGACAACGCTCTACAAGACTGAATATTTTTTTAAAAACTATGTATTTTTTTCAAAAAAATAAGCGAAAAAAAGTAAGAATTCACACGAAAAAAACTGACAAGTTTCATAAAAATCGTCGCGTTTCAGAAAAACCAAGTGAGGAACGCTTCTAAATTTCGAGTATGTTATATATTAACACTTTCTTTATTTTTTTCGAGTAAAAAAATTTTTAAAAAAATCTAACGACGCGAAAAAAATATTAAAGCTTGTAATGTGACACTAAACTTTGAAGCTGAAATGCGAAAAAATTTCAGCGACATGGTATACTTTTTATTTGATTTAAAAACTAACAGTGTGTCCAAAAAAATTGAAAGTCAAAAATGAAAAATAATTATTGGGACAGCGAATCAAATTATATTTGAGTTTTACCAAAACCTCCTTTTTTCGCCTGCCTCGTTGACGCATGAGAGAATAGGATCGCGTCTATACTTTTTGCTTATGTTATTAAGCGTTCAAAAACTCTATCAATGGAAAAAAATTATGAAAAAAATCTAACGACGCAAAAAAATAACGGCTTTGAAAAACCTCGAAAAAAATGGCAATTTTTTTGAAATTTTGAAAGAATTCGTGCAAGTGTCCGCGGCTGTGTTTGCGTCAAACACACCGATGCTCCATTTTAAATGTTGCAGGAGCCGTTTTTTTCGGAGTCAAATTGCACTTTTTTTCCTGTTTTATTTCGAAATAACATTATTTTTTTCTTTTTCTTTTTTTCCCAAATCGAATGATAATAATTTTTTTCTGATTAGAAAAAAAGAAAAAAATAAGCTAAAAAAATTCCTTCTGACCTTTTTTTCTAAGTAGTTTTTTTGATATTTTATCAAAAAAATTCTTATGAGAGTTATACAAAAGATTCATACCAAAACATGAGGCTCAGTTCGGACAACCTCTCAGAACAGAAAACCGATTTAAAAACGGTCCAGAAACGCGCAAAAACATTTAAAAAGAAAGCGTGCGGCAGCGGGTAAACCGTGAGATTTTGCCTCCAGTTGAACGCCGCGCGCTAGTTTTTTGGCCATAACTTTTTTCTTAGTGGACCTTTTTTCAAAAACTAAACGGATTATGAAAATGGACAGTCTCCTCTATCGAACAGTGTGAAAAACATATTTTTTGAATCGTTCTGAAGAAATGGCTTGCGGACCCTATGTATATCAGTTAGAATCAGATAATTTCGCTACGCGGACTTTTTCGAATTGGCGCCCAAACGCATCGCAACCGCTTTGCACTAGAAAGATTTACAGTAAAAGCTCTGAAACTGTTTTGATTCGGATTTTTGGACAACTGATCTGTATTATCATATTGTGGAAAAAATGACAGGACATTTTTTTCTGTAAGAATGATGATTAACCTTTTGTTTGACAAGCTTAACCTTTTGTTTGACAAGCTTAGAGCTTTTGGGCTCAACTCTCAACTAGTTAGTTGGTTCGAAAATTTTCTTTCCGAACGTCAATCTTGGGTTTTATTGGATGGACACGTTTCTTTCGACAGTTTTAGTATCAAATCTGGTGTACTCCAGGGGACAGTTACAGGGGCCTCTCTTGTTTTTTTAATCTTCATAAATGATCTAGCTGCAAATTTCAGTGATGACGTCTCCAGTTATCTATTCGCTGATGATCTTAAAATTTTTCTCCTCTGACCCAATTGCTCTTCAAAAATGCAATCAACCAACTTGCTATGTGGTCCGAAACATGGGGACTCCCATTAGCTGAAAAACAAAACTGTAGCTCTCCATCTAGGCAGATCAAATCCTAGGACAGTTTATACAATTAAAGGCTCTTTTATTAGTTCTTCCGAAGTTGTCAGAGATCTTGGAGTCATGGTGGACAGTTCCCTACTTTTTCAAATCTCACATTTCAAAAGCAGTTAACACCTCTTTGCTCAAAAAGTAAACAAATTCTGAAAAAGCTTTCGTTGTCTCACAATTCAACAGTATAATATGGTTTTCAACCTATTCGTGAAACCTCACCTCGACTACTGCAGTGACGTTTTTCTATCCCGCAATAAATTCCGAACAGGCATATCTACTCGAAAAAAACCTTATAGGTATTTCACTAGAGAAATTTTTTTATGCGCAGAAACTTAAGATTCAATTCATATTCTGAAAGATTGCTCAAGCTCGAAACTAATGCTTTGTACAGAAGGAGACTCAATCTTGCACTCTGCACACTTCACAAAAATTGTCCTCAAGATAGATCATTTTTCCAAGCGCTCACAGGTTTTTTTCAGAATCTCTCATTCGGGTCGACATCCTCTGCGGTTAATTCAGGCTGGTCCTTTATGTGATTCTTTCTTTTCAAAACTGATTCCAATCTGGAACAAAATCTGCTCTAGATTCAACGTCTCTGTTCCTCCTAAAATTTTCAAATCTCATCTGGACAACATCCCCGACAATGAATTATTCATCAGCATCCCTAGACGGCTACTATGATCTCAAAAATCTCAATATGCATATACGTGTATTTTATCAACTGTGATATCTATTGTATTCCCCATCCGGTGAGGTCACTCGTGAGGGTGACCAAAAAAACCGGTTCTTAACCTTATTTATTCTTTTTCACTTTGTGGATGAGTAAATTATTATTATTATTATGAAAAACAAATATTTTCCTGAAAATTTCCTACCTGCTTCTTCTCAGTACCCTATGCCGCCTCACTGATAATTATTTCTGTTTTCGAGTATTCTAACCTAGGTGTACCCTCCACAAAAGTTTGGAAAAGTTATGCGATTTAGACCTCAAAGACCTCTCCAATCAGAAAATATTCAAGAAAAAAGTTTCAACCTCAGGGAGAAGCCAAATGAGCGGTCCTTACCTAGGGACCGCAAAGCCACGCCCCTTTTCGCGATAGAAAAAGTGGCTTTTTTTTGGTTTTCAACTTTCATTTTGTTGTAGTTGCAAAATATGTGGAACTGGATAATAATTTTTGACACACATGTACAGAAAAAGCTTCCTCTTTCGTTTAAAAAAATATTTCACGCTTTTTTTGATGCGTTCTCGCGGAATGTCGTACAAAAAAACGTGAATGGAACTTAAAATTTTTTTGTCATTTTTTTGCTTTTTTTATGTGTTTTTCAGGTCGAACGCACTCTTTCTTTTTTTAAATAATGATTTTTGATTCAAGTAACGGTAATTTTAAAACAATAAAAATAGAAAAATTCGTCTTTGCCAAAAAAATTTTTAGGGAGTGCAGAAAGTCGTAATTCAAAAATATCGTTAATATGCGAATATAATCGAGTTTTTTTGTTTTTTTCAAAATTTAGATCCTGAGCTTACTTAAATATTTCTCTACAGCATCTTTGCTTGAAAAAAAGTTGTTTAATACACAAAAAAATGCTCTTGAAAAATAGAGAATAAAATTAGCGGCGTTTATCATACAGAAAGCGGTCGAACGCAGGTTTTTTTAAACGATTATATACTTTAATTAGTAAAAAAATCTTTCAATTAAAATAATAAAATAAAAAAATTCGTCTAAAAATTTACGGGGCCGTTTAAAGGCAGCGATCGTTAAACGAGGAAAAAAGCACTAAAAAAACAGTTTTTTTCGAAGTGAATTTCCACGAAAAGTTCGAGTAAAGATTTGTGAACATATTCTGATAAAAATAGCTGAATTACTTCAAGTTTTTATTTTTGAAATAGGCAATCTGTGCTATTCAAACGGCTCAAGGGTATGAGGGATGGAAGCTCCCCTCGCTAGACCTAACAGCTTGGCGCAGCGCGTGCGCTGCGATTTTTCATTATGAGGTCGCGAGTTCGATGCCCGCAAGCGTCAGTTTTTGTTTTCTGGAAAATACCGACTTTTTCGGCAAACTAGCTGATGAGCATCATTTTAGAGCTCTATTATGATTTCTTACATCACAATAGACCAGTATCAAAACTTGTTCTAGAAGAAAAAAATCGAGAAAAAAATGTCAAAATGGGTAATACCAAAATTTTCAGTACTAAAAAAATGGTGCGCGGCGCGCCACATTTTTCGTCATAACTTTTTTCATCCGCAATCTTTTTCGAAAAGCTAAACGGTTCTGAGTTTTGAATCGAAACAGCTATCAAACCATACAAAGCTCAATGCTGAAAAAAATTTTTTGAACATTCGTCTGCGGTCCCTATCCTTACTAATTATTTTAACAAAATATTCATTTTCAGACGACCAACTGGGAAAAAGCTCACGAATTCGAAATAACCGATTTGAAAGTTTGTCGAGTCTTCTAAAGCTCAATATATCGACATAATTTCAGGAGAGGATTACTTCGACTGCTCAAAAGTGCAGTGACCTGTCCAAGTTTTACGAGAAAAACGAAGCTCTTATCGTAAAGTTGATGCAACGCTCTGAAGCACCGTTCTTGAAAGACATCAAGGTGACATGAACATTTTAAATTAGGAAACGCACTCTTCGAAACTCCAAACTAAACTTGGCATCTCGCAATAAACTTGTATAGTCAATGTTTCCCGACTCGAAAGGCAAGGGAGGCAGGGCAGAGGGCGGGACGCGTAGCGTGTGCGTTCGCGGTTCTTGGCACAAGTTCAATTCAATCGCCAGCAGCTATTTTTAGAGCTCGTTTATCGCTCTTTTCATTTCCTTTTAAATTTTTCATTTATTTTTCTCATGTCGGCATTAAAAAAATAGTAGAACATATAAAGAAAGATCTGTTGCCGAGCTTTTTAAACAGTCGGCGACAAATGAATTGAACTCGTGCCAAGAACCGCGTACGCACACGCTACGCGTCCCGCCCCGTGCCCCGCCTCCCTTCTTTTCAATCATAAAAAAGAGGGTTGCTGAAATATTGAGAGAGCACGTTCATGCTCTAATCCAAGGGTCAAGGAGAATAGAGAATTAAGATGAAAAAGAACTTTTCAAATTCAAAAAGGTTTGACTCGTTACGTAAATTATAATAATTTTATCTGAGAACTTTGAAAAAAAAAAAAGAAATTCCCTACAATAGCCCACAACAATTCTCCTAACTGTCTCTAAAAACGTTTGGTTGACAATATTTTTTTTCAGGAGCGTCTGAAAAATATGTCTGGTTTGCTGCAAAAGTTGTCAGAAACCCTAGCGCCCGAACTGATCAGCACAGCCAAGGTTTAGTTTCATTCCACATTTCACAGTCTATTCATAAAGATCTTGGAGGCTCCAATGTTACAGTAAACCTTATTGCGCGATTTCGCTTCAGGAACTTTCAGTGTCAAATGATCGCCTAACTAAGCCGATAAGGTACACGGTAGCGTTCCGAGCTTCAGAAAATTCATAGAGAATCAAATATGGAAACTTAAACGTCTCTTGAACGAATCATGTTTCTGACGACTTTTTTCAAAAGATGGTCATCTTTTAGGCTAGTTTTTATGGCTTAAAAGCTTGTACTTGATTATTTGAAAAGATCTGGAATTTCCAGGACAAAACTGAAGAATGGGATGTTATCGACAAGCTATCGGAGGACGTGGAAAAAACGGCGCGAGAAATTCCATCAACTTACGAATTGAAGCAAAAATACAAGGGCTACACTGAAACGTCGGAAAAGTCCAAGGAAAAGCTCTTGGAGATATCTTCTACGTGATCATTTTCATATTCATTCATTTCTGATAAACGCTTCGACTTTCTTTCATTTACAAATTAGTCGCAATCGAGGAAGGCTTTCTTTTTTTTTTGCCCGTCAGCCCTGGACAAGCGGATCGCCGTACAGTTCTTACATGGAGAAGCAGATGATCCTCGCATGCTGAGCAGGGTAACCCCGCCGTGCTAACACGGGGTCTCCGCGGGTGCACCCGTATTAAACCCGTATAAGCCCAGCTAATAGAACTTTTGGCACTTTTTAGCCCAACTGAGACCCCGCTTTAGCCCAGCTGGGTTACCTATTTTTCTTACACCCGTTGTTCCCCCGTTTTAGCCCAACTGAGACTAAAATAACCTCAGAAACACGGGTTTAATACGGGTACACCCGTTGAGACACCTGCTCAGCATGCGAGTCGTCGGAATGCTCAAAACTCGTTCAAAAAGATTTCAAGAAAGGCGAGATAATCTACGCGCCGTACTTGATCATCGACATTCTCGCGAACCGAAAAACATATCTTAAATTATTCCATGATTAGCACAGAACCTTTTCTGAAGACGAAAAATGAAGGAAACCGTAAAAAACTATTTTGCTTTCACTCACCAGGTGGATCGAGCTAAAAACCCTCTGAACTCTCTAAAGACGCCTCAGCCTCCAAGGTATCGATCTTTCAAATAAAACAGTATATTAATTGTTGAAAAACCGCTTCAAAAATGATCATTTCCGTTTTTTTTTCAACAAGGGGGACCGATCCAGCCCCCTTCCGAGCTTCAGACAAGACACCCAGCTTTCTGACCAAAACGCCACATTAATACTGATTTCATGCGACTAAAAAAATAATGAATAAATAAAAAAACAAAAAAATAAATGAAACTGAAATGATAAAATTAAAAAAAGTATTTTGCTCTCATTAGAATTGAACCAATGAGCTTCTGACTGCCATACGAAACTATGGAGGAAATGCTGAAGTTGTATCACAAAGGTGCTTTTGAAAAATGTAAATTATCGCTCTGTTCAACAAAAGGGGCCGGTCCAGAGACCTTTCCAGCGTTATTCAAGTCATTTAGCCTTTCGGCCAACACGCCGATTGATATAATCTCGAAAAAAAAAGACTCACACATTCCGGTGAGCTTCTTAGAAGTTTTTCGAGCTCGACGTCTACATTTTTTTTACGTCTTCAACGATTTCACCTAAAAAAAAATTCAAGCTTAATGCATTATTATTGATAGAACTTTCAGATGATCCCAATAAATTCAATAATTCAAAGTATCGCCTTAAATGAAAACTTAACTAATTTCTAATTCAAAAAAATAATTCTTCCATTTTAATTAAAAAACTTTTGGAAGACCTTTTTTTCATCAGCTTTTTTTGCTTTATTTATGATTTAAATTTACCCTTTTTTTAAATTTTTAAACTCCTTCTTTCATGACGAGTATGCGTTCGAAGCATCTCTTCCACATAAAAAGCTGAAAAATTATCACTGATAATGGCCTTATCTTTCCCCCGAATTTGCTAGTCACACCGGAAATCGTTTCGAAGCGATAAAAACCCTATTTCCGAGCATCACTACTTCCTTTTCCACATAATCCTTAACAGTACGGTGAAAACTATTTCGAAAATAACTTTAAAAAAATTTGTTTCCATTTCATTCTTACAATGGAATTATTTACCATCAAAAAAATTTAATTTGAATGCTAATAAACAAAAAATTGCATCGAAATTTCAACATTTACAGCTTTATTCTGTTCGAATTGCTCATGTGCGAAAAAAATCTCTTCTGCTTTCAAAAAAATTTTTGAAACTATTAGAGCATTACAAAAAAATTTATCTGTGGATAAAAAAAGGTTCAAAAACAAGTTGTTCCATCAAAAATTTAAAAAAATTATCACCAAATCACAAAATTCCTGAGCAAAAAGAGACTTTTTTGGCGCGACATTCAAAAGTGGCGAAAAGTGTTTGCTACTTTAAATTTGCTTCGTGATTTTTTTCTTTATTAAGAAAAAAAGGAGTTTTATCGAATTTATTTCTTGATTCATTGTGATATGTTTCTGGAAATCGGCTCAATCGACTCATTATCAACAAATTATGACGAATGAACAAGTTTAGAGTATACATGAGGAAGTACAGGGTTCTTATCAATGTAATCGACAAGAAAATTGACTTATAAAATCCATAATCACTCTTTTCTCCTTCACCAGGAAGATCATTTCTTTTTTGAATCGTTTAAAAATTGGGCATATAATCTGTGTGCCACGACTTGAAATTTCATGAAACGACATTCCGCTGTTCCGCTGAAGCGTCTTTCGAATCTTGATTTTTATTGATGTTGGAGCACATGAAAGTAAAGTATCTTAATAAAAAGAAAAAAATTGAAAGCGCCATCATGGTTCGAAAAGGGCGCAGGGGCACAGCGGAATGTCGTTCCGTGAAATTCCAAGTCGTGATACACAGGCTATAACACTCCTTGACGCACCCAATGAAGATCCCAGAAGTCTCAATCTGCACAGACGCCTAGTTTTCGGAAAAAGATCATTCAAAGCCATTGAATAGTCTATTTCAACGGAATTTGAAGACCTTCTTACTCATAAAAGATGCAGGTTGAGCTTTCAGGATCTTTATCTGGTACATCAAGAAATGCTCTGGCCAATTTACAGCGTCAAGTGACCTTCCTTGTCAGCTCTACACAAACCCAACATTATATCCTACACTTACGCTTTTCCATTTCTCTCAACGAAAGAAAATTCGCTTCTTAGTTTAGAGCCAAGTTATGGGGGCTTCAAACACGACAAAACTCTGATTTTTCATACTAAGCATGGAACGTTTTTTGCCATCCGGTTGAACTTTTGCTGAAAATTTCGCCGAAGTGTACTTTCAGGACCCGCTGATTGCAGATCAAGAAAAAAAAAATTGTTTCTCGCAATAGATCTTGTTTCCGAGTTATGAAGCTTCAAAGTGTTCAAAATACGCAAAATTATGACAAAAAAGCGCTATTTTCGGGCTTTTGAAGTGTCTTAACTCAAAAACGAGATTTATTGCGAGAAATTTTCTTTTTGTTCTGGAATCAGTAGGTCCTAAAGTAAACTTCAGCAAAGTTTCAGCAAAAGTTCAACCGATCCTTTAAAGGTTCATTCCACAGAAAAATCAGAGCTTGTCCTTTTGGGCTTCCCCATAAGAATGACCGGAAACTTTTTTTTTTAGTATTATCCGACTCATCCATATAATCAATCTCCAATTTCTATTCAGACAATTTCTTCTCGGACAGTACCCATAAAGCTCCTTAAATTAATGACATTTTTTGAAATTCAGGTATCAAGCAAAGATCAGATGATTTCATTTCGAAAGACCCTGATGCCTTTGATTTCCTTTTATCTTATCTTTCGAACCGCTTCGAAATGCCATTCCACAAGGGAAAATTTTTTGCTCGCTGAATCGCGTCATTTTTCGATCTTGTCAACAAATTTGACTATTTACATTCTGTAACTCTGACAGATCCAATGAAAAACATTACGATTAACTGAGTGGAAATATGGATCCTTCCGACGACGACAAAGACTTATCGCCTGTTATGGTATGATTATTTTTCCATCCTTATCTTTCAAATTCATTTAGGTTAGCGGTTGTTTCTCATGTTTTTTGAAAGCTCCTAGTAGGGAATCGGAAAAGGCAAAAGTTCGAGAAGAAAAAACTGGAAATCTTACAAGAGCATCAAAAAAAGTTGGAACAAAACGCGAGGGCTCATGCGCAAGAGATGCTGAAAATAGAAAGAAACGCCTCGAAAGACCGGAACATTCAAAATCAGATTGAAACTCAAAAATTGGAATTGGAAAAAGAGGATATAGCATCTCGATTAGAAAAAAATCGCAAACAAGAACAGGAGCAGCAGAAGATTTTTCAAGCGGGTCAAGATTCTCTGGCCAGAGAGCACGAAGCTAAAATGGCTGACTTGAAAGCGAAGAACGATGAGCTCCTGGCCAGGAAAACTGAAGAAATTCGTCGGAGCCTTCAGCAGGAAAAACTCAAGTACGAGGCTCGGAAAAACAAGAGAGAAGAAGAGGAGAAAAGACGTCAGGAGGAGTTCTTAGAAGAAAGAAGACTTCAAGATGAAAAAGAAGAGCAGAAAGCAGCCGTTCACAAGTTGAAAATGCAGGAAGTTGATGAGCGAATGAAGCTGGAGCAGAGGGAGCACGAGAAGCGACTGGCTGAGATGCGAAGAAAGTTCGACCTACTGCAGGAGGAACGTCAGCGGGAGTGGTCACGACGTCAGCAACAGGCCAACGAGCAGCTCCGCCAGCTCCTTCAACTTCTGGTCCAGCGTCGGTGGAACCAGATGATTGAAAATCGTTGGGCGAACCGACTCATGTTTTTGAGCGGGCTGAACAGGCCGGTCATTCGCGAGTTCCGAGACTTGCGAAACGAGGTTGATACTCCTCCTTGAAACGTTTGTTTCATGGTGAAACCTTTCAGTTCGACCGAATAATGGTGGCTCCTCAAGGTCACATTAACTTTAACTTGAAAAGTCTGGCGGTATAAACTTCCTGAAATATTAAGAGGCTACTAGATTTTCAGCTGGCTGCGGACAGTGTCTTATCAGTTGTCAGAAATGAGATCAACACCATGAGGAATGAATCGGAGCAGCTGGCCGAGTGCTTCAGGCAAAGCGGAGCACTTTTCGTCCAAGATATCCAGGTGAGAAACAAGAAAATCTCTTAGGAAGCATAGAAATTGTCAGGAGAGTGTGAATGAAGTCGTCGGGAAATGCACTGCGCTTCACGATTTGCTCGAAAAGTTCAAAGTCGAATGTGTAAGGAGCCTTTTAAGATAATCTAAAGAGAATCTAGAGGATTCAGGCGACCGGCACGGCTTCAAGAAACTCTTTAGATAGATTAAAAGAAGCGGAATCTTTGCTCCAAAATGCCGTGGGCAAAATCCCAGCGATCCACTCCCTCAAAGCGAAATACCAAAATCAAAACTGGCACTATGAAGACGACGTTCAGAGCTCAGTAATCATCACTGAAATAATTGACTAATTTTTATAAAATCAAAATGAAGATTATTAATTTTCCCGTTTTCATTATCTCCAAATGTCGGTTACTATTCCCCGTTATATCTATGAAGCTTGACAGCATCAACTAACCAACTCGAAATCTTTTGGATGGCTAATCAACAAGGACCCAATTATCCCGAGTTCTCCGAGATTGAGGTCAAATCCGACATGGAATATAGGAGCATTGCCTTTTTCTTTTACAGAGCATTTCATCCGCTTCTTCAGAGGAAACCAATTGCATTCAACGAATTCTGGGAGAACTGAATTTTACAGCTCGAGAACCGATTCCTCAAGTTCCTGAAAACAGTGGATCCGTTGGTTCTCTCGGATAACTTCAAAAATAAAGGTTTCTTTTTTAGATGGATTCTGTACTAAATGGCATGCAGACAGTCGCCCAAGCTTCCACCCTTTTTGTAAGACCAATTTTTTTGAAACTTCATAGAGAAATTTCCAGTTGCCTCCCACATATGCCGCTGGCGTGAATGTCGCAGCTCTCGCCGTACCATTAGTTGTTCGGACAGCCGCATCTTTGGTTTATTATCATTATTATTATCAAGTTAAAAAAATTTGTGTAGGTTCAAAGAGGAAGCCACTCAAAAGTAAAGTCCAGAAGGACCAGCTCTGGGAATGTTTTAAAAATATGCTGACCATGGAATGGGAGTGGTCTCAGCTCACAGTGAGACTTCTGAATGAGACCATGTTTCTAGATGTAGTTTTTCACGCTGATTTCAAATCTGGCTTCAAAAGTAGCTCGATACGTCTGTGAAAAAAGTTAGGGAATCTTAAAGGTCGGAAATTTAGAATCCCAGTAATCCATTGACACGTTTTCATCTTTTCCAGATGCCCGAGGACGTTGGCCCAATTCAAGCGCAGATCGATTTAGTGACTCAAGACATAGCCTTGGGCCAAGAACATCACTTGAACGCAATGGAACACCGACAATCTCTCCACGAGAGAAACTTACAAGATTTCGAGCATAGAAGACTGGAAAACCGTCTAGCAGAAGAAGAGCTTCGAGAGGAATGTAAGCAGAACACGGAAGAGTTCGTGCAAGAGCTGAAGGAGCTGGAAGACGCTCAGAAGGAAGCTTTGGAGGAATTTCGAAAAGATACGGACACAAAGTTGAAGGAGCTGGAAAAGGTGTCCGAGGAGAGGCGGCGTGAGTTAGGAAAGGTTTGTTGGGAAAATATTTCACCTCTCATATTCTTCCTACAGTAATCCGCAACGCTCAGATTGGAAAAACTCAAAAAAAAAACATAAGATTTGCTGTTGGCAAAATACATTTTGGGATATAGTCTGTGTGCCACGACTTGAAATTTCACGGAACGACATTCCGCTGTGCCGCTGTTCGCCTTTGCGAACCTTGGTCGCGCTTTTAATTCTTCTAAGTTTTTATCAAGGTACTCTATTTTCATGTGCTCCCACAGCAATAACAATCAATTGAAAGGGTGACCTAGATTCGAAAGACGCTTCGCGAACGCACGCAGAGGAACAGCGGAATGTCGTTCGGTGACATTTCAAGTCGTGGCATCCAGACTATAAAACTCCCTACTTCATCCGATAAACTTTTTCTAAGTTCAAAGGCGATGGAGGCACGTGTACTGGGGTGACTGATTGCAGTCGCGACGCGGCTTTTGGCGCAAAAAACATTCACACCCAAAATGACTGTGTGTTTTTATGATTTCCATTCTTTTCGCGCTAGTCGAATGAAAATAAATTTGAAAACTGCGTTTTACTTCGTTTAATCAACACTCGCTTTTGAAAAAACCATTTCGAAATCCGCATCACGTGCTCTACAGTAAACTAGCATCCATCGCCTTTCAAGTAAATTGACTGACAAAAATTTCCTTATGCACAAGTTTGAAAAACAGAACTACAAAGAAGAGATGGACATGATGAAAAAAGGATGCGCAGAGCAACGACGGGAAAACATTTCGCGGGTGGATGCCTTGAGATTCGACAACGAAAAAAATCAAAAGATTGCCGATGAGAAGATCCAGGAGCTGAGGACGGAGGCAGCCAATCAGCGATTGGAAAACGTTCAACAGTCGGAAATTGTTCATCACGAAGTGTTGGACCAGACGGTCAAACTATTCGAAAAGCAGGAGAAAGCCTTCGAAAGACAACTAGAAATACAACTGGAAGCCGGGAGAAAGAACACGGAAACCCGCATTGAGTACATCCGCGTCATGGTCAACATAAGCGTTTTGGAGAGTCAAGAATCTCAAGTTCAACGTCTGAGAGCAGCCACGCTTAAATGGTTCGAGGGAGTTCGCGATGTCGTCGAACTGAAGACAACGCTTCTCCAATTGGTATTTGTTTATTTTCATCAAAATCAGTAGTTTGGCCTGTCGGAAATGTGTTTTGTGTATTGGATTTTATTTCTCTCGAAAGCGAGGATTTGAGAAGGCCATACACTCTTCCTCTACTGGCAAGTCCTAGGTGCAAATGGAAAATATATTTTTGGATAAATTCCGCTTCTTGTCTTCATCTACGTTGATGAACTCGTGGCTTGATGAACTAGTGAAATCAACTATCAAGAAAAGCTCTAATTTCTAACTTATGAGATCCTTCCGAAAGGCGAAAAAAAAATCACAAAATCCGTAGTCGCTCCTTTTTTTTATTTAAGAGTAGCAGAAGTAACTAGGAACTACAAATCCTCAAGGTTCGCCGGAAAACCCACTTTGTCCTCAAACAAGCTCTTCCCGAAAAATGAAACTGCAAGTCACTATATTTGACCAAACAGTACTCAGGAAAACTGAGCAGTTTCAAACCTTCCTTAGAAATCAGACCAAATCAGAAAATAATCGTTGAGTTCAGATATCGGAGTACAACTTGGACAAGCCCAACAATGTTTATATTCTCAAGGTTGGAAGCCCCAATAATCATTCTATTTTCATTTGAAGTACAGAGGGATATGGAAAAACTCAGAAATGACATCAGGGCCGTCAACAGGCTTCACGACAAGGTCAGAGAAACTCTAACTGGCAGCAGTATTCACAGGGATCAAAATATTCTCAATAGCTTCAATGTGAGTTGGAAGAATGAGTATGTGTTCAGGGAAGAAAATAAGAGATTCAGACTGCTCGAGACGCGGTCGGCCTTGCTCTTACAGCCATCGTGAGCACCTTCGTACCAATTCACGATCGTTTATTGGTTCGTTTTTCATTTTCCAGAATTTTATCGAATTTTTTTAAAGAAAAAAATCAAGATTTTTCGTGTGATATACCATCATTAGTGGAAATTCACACACATTTCACACAAAAAAGTCTTTTTTTTCAATAAAGTTCTTATGCAAAATCAGCATTCAGTGAATGCAGATATCCGACCTACAGTATGGTGATCAGAGTAGTAATTCCCTTTCAGAGACATCAAGATCTGGACCACAGCCTCATCAGTCAGCCTTTTGAGCAACTAGAAACCGCACTTAGGACGATCCCAGAACTGTGCGACGAACAGAGAGCTCTCACTGAAGCCACAATTCTGCTGGAACAGCTCTCAAAAAATCCTGACCCTCCTCAACAGCCCCAACTCGATGAATAAACCTATATTTCTCTTTTTCCACCATCGAGAATACTTTCCCATCTAGTAAAAGTGATTCTGTAGCGAAACCTTTCCTGGAACAATATTTGGCTTTTCCTTCTAAGTATCTCAATATTTTCAACCTGATATTTCTTGTTCCAATTTTCTTCTTTTTCTAAAGTCAAATTGTTGCCTCAATATTATTCACTTGCCATTTTGCCCTCAATAAGTGTGTCGAATCAAAATTAGTAATGATAATATGCCTGAATTTGACACGTTCATACGGTTCAGAAGCCTAAAAACTACTTTCATTGAATTCGTTTCAGATTTTTAACAAGGTTTTCCATCTATCAGCCTTGAAGAGTGCCGGAATAATGGGCAGCTATTTGAGTTTGGTATGTTTCCTATTTTTCATCATTGATACCGGTTACACCGAGTTTAGAGGAAATTTGGGCAATTTATGACTATTTTTAGCTTCATGAAATTTTTAGAAAGCTTATATGATGACTTCTCAAGCTTTTGTGTTAAGCTGAGGTAAATAATTTTCAAGCGCAGCATCGAAATCATTTTGAAAAACATTCTTCACAAACTTTTTTCTCAAAATAAGCGAGTTTACAGTGCTGGTGTTCCGACGACGATGCCGATGAAGCTGAATATTCAAATCGTAAAGCTGAACTTCTCAAACAAAACGACGAAAATCGGAGAAGGAGCAGGGAAGATCATCAAAAAAGGCTGAAACAAATGGAAGATGACGGCAGGAATAATTCGCTACGACTAAGGGAAGATGCAAGGCGGGAAAACGAAAATTACGCAGCTTTGAGGCAAGAAGCTCGAAGAAAACGGATTCAAGAAGAAAAAGAGCAAGCAGCAGCTCACCGGGCAATCCTAGAAGCTCGAGACGAAGAACATCGCGAGAGAATGGAGCGACTACAAGAAGAATTTGAGAAAAACTCTGCAGCTAACTGTAGTAATCGTCGAAAAACGCAAGAAGTTGAGCAGACTTCGCTGGAATAAATTATTTTCCATTTCTTTTTTATTTTAAAGGAATCACTGTACTGAAGCCTGATCCTTATATTTTTCCGTTACTTTTTTTATTTTTTTGAAACATTTTTTCCTTCTCTGATTCGGGAATACAATAAATGACTGGATTTAGAACTATGTCTCCTAAAAAAAAAATGAAAAAATGATAATGACCCTGTCAGTTTTAAAGCGCCTCACGGATTGATCCAACAACTTTCCGATCAACCGAAAAATATTACACTACTCAGCCACCAAAAAATTAAAATAATGTGATAAAATTCCTGTGATAAATTCCCAAAAAAAGGTTTTAAAACGGCCATCTTCCCAAGTTCAAAAAAAAAGAAGAAAATATGAATAAAAGTATGAAAATGTTTTTTTTCCTACGTTTTCTCATGCTTAAACTCGACCTCGAGCTTTCCGCCAAAAGCCGCTTCGTACAGGATACGCTTCATTCTTGCCAATCGACTCATCTCCATTTTCAAGTCGAAAAACTTCTCAGACTTTTTTTTTCAAGGTTTTGGATGCCAGGTAGGTCTCCACTTGATATGTTTTCGAAGGAAAAAACCATATCTAGACTAAATTTTTTTTTATGGGAAAAGTATAAAGGTGAAGGGATGACACCTTTACAAAATCCGTAATAGGAGAATTTTTCAAGATTGGGAGGCGGCAAATGGTGTTCAAATCCCTTCAAAACGTCAAATCTGATCCCAAATAGATGTATTTTCCATTAATTTTTTCTTTTTATCCTCAAACGGTCTCAACGCTTTAAAAAACGCCATTATCTCCTTCTTTTCTCTGTCCTTTCTCGATTTAAATTTTCCTACAAGTATTCCATAAGTTGCTCAAAATTTCTCATTCGTCTTTTCCTTTCAATTTGCTCAAAAAATTAATTTCGCCATCTCTTTTTTGGTTTGTTTTCAAAATTTTCGAAACTAACAGCCTTTATTTTTTTTTGCCAGTATGCTCTATTCATGAAATATTAAAAAAACTGATGGAAAAATTATAGGAAAAAGAACCAAAAACGTCAACTAAAATGGCCAACCACCGAGTTATCGTGTGAAAGAAATGGCACATTCTCTGGCCGTACTGTGATAAGGGCTCTACTTCCTTTTGTTTACAATCATTTGTGACGTTGATTAGAATCGACTTCGAAGTTTCGACAACGGTCATTTTTCTTGAATTTTCGAATCTATCATATCTCGACAGTTAAAAAAACTCAACTTTAAAAAAATTGTAATTTGGATAAATTATTGAAGAGTTTATTTTTGTGAGCAAAGTGCTTCGATTAATTTTTAGAGTGTTAGATTATGGATGACCCTCATCCAAATATACTTAAGCGACCAGAAGTTTATGTATTAATGAATTAAAAGCTTGGAAATCACGGAAAAACGTTATGTTGAGCCAATTTTGTGATGAAACATTTTTTCAATTCCCATCCTTTAAAATCCCCCTTCTTTCTCAATTTCAACTTTTTCTCAATCGGTTGGAATAAATATTCAAAATGAATGTTCTCACTGTTTCGTTCTGTACGGTTTGTATGCCCAGAAACGATTTTTTGTGTTCAGTTTTTGAAAATGAAAGAAAAATTGAATTTTCAGTCGTTTGGGACGAAGCGAAGGCTATTTGATGGAAAGCATTGTGAGTTTCTTCGTTCAAATAAAAATATTGAAAATTTTTTCAGCTTGGATGTATTCTCCTGCCATTCAACCTTGCGTACGAAGCCATCGTTTACATCTTTTTCCACTGTGAGAAATGTAATTTCATTGATAACAAAAGATGTCGTTTTCCTCAAAGTTTGAAATGTTTAAAAATTTGCTCAGAATTTCAATAAAAAATGAGATATCTCAGGAAAACTTCCTTTCAGACCAAACCCATTTTTGTGGTTTTTAGGAATTCCGAATTTGAAAGAAAGTTTGCAGAAGTTTGCATGGGGTAGACCTACAAAGGATTTTTAAGGAAATTTTGAAAAATCTCAAACTTCCCACAAAAATGACTGTTCGCTTTTTTTTTTCTGAACAGTGAACTCCGAAAAACTTCTTCATCTCAAAATACTTTCCTTTGCAGTGTTGCCGCCCCGATGACAAATACTACTTGGAACACAGGGAGAGATTGCTTCAAGAACACGATGAGGAACAACAAAGACTTCAGGAAGAGCACGAGGAAAGACTAAGAGCTCTCGAACGTGCCGGGTATGACGAGTTGGAAAGAAGAAGAGAAACTGAGCGACAGGAGCGGAAAAATGACGAAAACTTGAGGCAGCAAGCTCGAACCCAACGAATTAGAGAAGAACAGGAGCAGGAAGCAGCTCGAAAGGCCCGGATGGAAGCTCAGAATGAGGAGCACCGCAGGAAAATAAGAAAATTCCAGGAAGATTCCGACAAAAAGATAGCCGAGCTGAAATGGAACTCGGAGCAGAAGTCGGCGAGAGACCTGCAGGAGTACGAGGAAAACCGTAGAAGAACTCAAGAAATTGAGAGAAAACGTCAGGAAGAGTTCGAAAGGGATCGGGATTCCTGGCAGGCTGCGGAACAAGCCAAAGAGGCTCGTCATCAGGCTGATATGAGATCGAGAGACGAGAGAATGGCTCAGGAGCAGCTGGAGCACGAGAAGAGAATGAGGAAGATCAAAGCAGATGCGGAAGAAGTTCAGCGGGAGCAGTATCGACGTTGGGAAGAACGACAAAAACTGGCCAACGCTCAGCTCCGGCAGCTCTTCGAAATGGTTATCCAAAGACGCTGGAATCAGATGATCGAAAATCGGTGGGCGAATCGGCTTTGCTTCCTTCAAGGCGTCAACCGACCTGTCGCCAGGGAGTTCCGAGATTTGCACCAGCAGGTGAGCTTTCCGAAAAAGAGAAGAAACAGAACTAGAAAAAAGGGAAAGCTTGACAGATTCAATAGTTCGAGGAGCACGAGAAGGAATAATTTCACTATTCAATTTTCAGTAATAGAATCCGCTGAATTCCTCAAAAAAGAGAGGGGACAATGTTCAGCCAAGGAAGATCTGAAAAATCACGCTTTTTTCAGTTCAACGCGACTGTGTTGCAACAAAACAAAGAGAAGGACCTTCAATATATAGCGGTAAACTCATCGATTTCCAACAATTTCAAGTTGAATTCGATTCAGATGACAGTGAGCGTCGTGATTTCGGCCCTGGACAATGAAATGAAGACAATGGATCAAGAAGGTCAAAAAATGGAAGATTATTATCGTCGGACCGGCGCCGAGTTCTTGCGAGAAATTCAGGTTGATTTACAAATTAGGAAACGAAGTTTCCTCTCAGAGAAGCACCGAAGACGTTGCCGACAAGTGCCAGGCGCTCAAAGCTTCTCTCATAAGTTTCCGTGGCGAATGTGTTAGTTGTCCTCTTGGAAGTTCGGCGAAAATTGATCCGAATTTTAGGAAAAGAGGTACCGCCAGTTCTCTAGCTACTGCGAAGCCTTTGGCAGACGATCTTGAACAAACTGTCGCTAAAATTCCAACGATTCACCAGCTCAAAGAGAGATTCGAAGGCTCATGGAATAATCCAGAAAGCCAAGAAGATGGTCAACAATCTAACGTTATCATAACCGAAGTCTACGACTAGAATATTCTTATATAAGCTCAGATCATGTATTCTGATTTCTTAATGTTAACCTTTATTGCAGATTCTCAATGAAAAAGCAACTTGCTGTTAATTTATGAAATCAATTTTGTAAATGTTTTATTCCTGTTTGTTCGATGTTTCGTGATGTTTCCTAATGGTTCCTTGGCTTCCGATGAAATTAATAGTAAAATAAAACGTTGATCTTACGATTATACGTGATAATCTTGTACGGTGCGTGGACCGTGAAATTACTTTTCTTGAGATTTTTTTATTGAAACTGTTTGAATTTAAAAAGTCACATTTTTCCAGTTCTTCTACAGCGCCGTAACAATGGGAAACTTTGTAAGTTTCTTCTTTTCATTGAAAATACCGATAAAATTTTTCCGTCTTTCGTTACTCACCGAAAGTGAACATCTCTTATAAATTCCTTTCTTAAGAGGTTAAAAAACATCTCTGACCTGTCTGCGCTCTCTTTTCCTTCAGAAAAATGAAAATAGTTCGTGAACACGAGACCTTCGCCGAGGGGAAAATAATCGTCGCAAGTTTGAGATTCAGACGGATGGGATATAAATTTTCTGATTATCCTTTTTAACTCTGAAATTCGCTAATTTACAGTTTGGCCGCTCCACAACCGAAGAAGATAAACACAAAGAAAGATTGGCGGCAATACATCAAAGACATGAGGAGGAAAAGAGACGAAATCAAGAAAACCACGAACAGAAACTGAGAAAAATCGAGGAAGACGGCCGAATGGATACGCTGAGAAGGAGGGAAGCTGAACGAAGAGAGAGAGAAAACTTCAACACTTTGAGACAGCTGAGAAGATTGGAACGACATCAAGAAGAACAGGCCCAAAACGCAGCTCACGATGCAACAATGGAAGCCCTAGAAGAACAGTTTCGAAGAAGAGTCGAGGAATTGAATGCTAACAGACCTTGAGAATGAGAATAAATCATTACAAATTGAAAAAAGCGTCTTACAGCTTCACAAAATTTGTTCTGAACCGGTACAAGGATTGACCCAGTAACTTCCTGACCAACACCAAGACTTTCAACCAGTCGGCCATGCGTCTTGCTCAACTTTTATTTGCCAAAATTCGATTGCTGATTAACATTCTTCTTATCAGTTGCCGAAAAACCATAAGGGACAAACATTTCGCCGGGCTTTTGTTTCTCCTTATCGATCTCTATTGTTTCCATCTTTTGATGGTTTTTTTCGCATTTTTTTGGCTTTCATTTTAGTAGCTAGAAAAAAATAAATTTCTTTTTTTCAGAAATTATTCTTTCAAAAAAACTATTTTTTTCGAAATGTTCAAATTTTATTTTTTTGATCTTCAATTCAAACTCTCACCAAAGTTAATATTCCAAATGCCTAGCCAAACTTTTTTTCTCTGAATAAAGTTTGATTTTTTTCTAACCTTTTTAAATGATTCTACTCATGATATCGTTGAAAAAAAGTTTTTTTAAACTAATATTACGCTTCTAGAATTTTTTCATTGTCAAATCATTTTTTTCGCCGATGTATAACTTTTTCACTACTAAAAGGAAATTTTTAAAAAAATTTTTTTCCTGGTTCTATTTCCTATACTTTCAAACCTCTGAAAGATTCTTTTTTTGACAATTTTTTTATCGATTCAAGAAATCTAGAATGCATTATCTTCAATAAAGCAAAAAAAAAAGGCTATGAGCCTCATTAGATTAAAAAATGCTGTTACTCCTGCCTCTCTTCCTGTTCGATAACTGATAATTTTCTAGAAAGCATCCTTCATCACTCGTTCGTCGAGTAAATCAAAATTCAAAGCGCCCATCTCGAAATTTTGAATAAATATTTCACAGAAGCTGAATGAAGTCATACTGAACGCGAAATGGATGAAGGCGGAGCTCATCAGGTATAATATTTAGACAACTAGAAGAAAAATGTCTCTAAAACTAGAGAAAAAAAGATTTAGCTCTTTTTAACAGTAATCTCACAGATAGCTTACTAAATTGATCATTCTATCGATCAGAAGCTCAACTACCCCATTAAAGCGCATTGATAAGGACCAGAACTTGGCTGTATCTTCCCATCAAAACTTGATTTTTAAAGCCTAAACATTTCAGAATGTCGAGAGCGCAGGAGTCGACAACGACTCTGAACGAGGAAAGGCCTTCCTCGTCAACAAACTGATGCAAGACTTGGAGCACGAAGAGCAGTTCGAAGAGCTCGAACTCAACGGCCCAGGAGCTCAACCACACGAGCAAGACCTGATCGACTTTGACGACCCGATTGAAACTGTGCAGAAGAAACAGGAAGCTCTCCAACTCTACGAATCGGATCTGAAACTGCGCGAAAAAGCCGTAGCCGAGAAGGAGAACACTCTGAGACACATCCAGGAGTGGGAAAAACGACTTGAATCTGAGGAAGAGGTCATCAAAACAAAAGAGGAAGTGCTGCTGCGTCTGGAGAAGGACTTAAAGTTGGAAGAACAACGACGGGACGAAGTAAAGCCAGTGAATGAACACCTCGTCGAGTTGGAGGCGATCCTCAGAAAAAGAGAGGACCAACTCAATCAGCGCGAGGAAGATATTCAGCGAAACGAGGAGTTTCTGAAGCAAAGAGAAGCGATGTCACACGATTTGGAAATTCGAACAGAAGAGGTGGAAAGCAGAGAGGAGGCTATATTGCAAAGGGAGGAAGAGCTGAATAGGTACGAGCAGGAGCTTCAGGAGAGAGAAGCAGTTTCTCATTCCTTGGTTAATGAAGACGATTCTCAACTAGCTTTATCGTTGCAGAAACAAACTGAAGAGCTGATTCACATGCGAGAAGAACTCAATAGTAAAGACGATAGAATAAGAAATCTTGAAGAAGAAGTTTCACGATTCGTGGAGCTTCTGAAAGCTCGCGACGAAGATGCCGCCGACAGCCACGCTGAAAAAGAAGCTGAGCTGCTGTTAAGAGAAGCCGAAGTGGCCAGGAGTGAAACATTCGCCCAAACACTACAGGAGCGCGAAGAACTATTAAACGATAGGGAAAATATTATTCTAGCCAAGGAAGAATCTATGATCCTTCTGGAAACTTCGCTACAACAAAGAGAGACGGAAATTTCTAGCGAAAACGATTATAAAACTGCTCAGTCTTTGCAGAAGCAAGCAGAGGAATTAATTCATATGCAAGATGAGCTGGCTATCCGGAACAATAGAATAAGAAAGCTAGAAGATGAAGTAGCGAGTTTTGAAGAGCTTCTGAAGACTAAAGACGAAGAAGCTGTCAACAAACAGATGCAGAGAGAAGCTGAACTTCGACTAAAGGAAGAAGAAGTCTCTCGGGGGGAACAATCTTTGAAAGACCGTGAAAAGCTTTTGAACGATCGAGAGAACAATATTTCAGCCAAGGAAGAATCGATAGTTGTTCTTGAAAGTTCTCTTCAACAACGGGAGGCAGAACTTGAAGAAAATACCAGGAAATCACAGAGACATGAAGAAGTCGATCGTGAATTTGAGCAGAACTTGATAAAGGCCAGAGAAGAATCATTACGCCTCTTGGAGGAGAGTCTTCAAAAAATGGAAGTCGAAGTTCAAGAGCAGCAGAACAAACTGAAAGAACAGGAGATAGAACTGGAAGGCAAGGAAGCGACGCTGAAACATCGTGAAGAGCAACTAAAAGCTGAAAAAGAAGAAATTGAAGCCAAAGAAGACTCATTGCGGCTATTACAAACGAAGATCGAAGAGCGTGAGCTGGAGCTGCAAGAAAAGGCCCGGAAACAGTTGGATTTCGAAGAATCACTAGCCGAAAAGGAACGGAAACTGAAGGAAACCCTGGAAAGTCACGAAAAAACCGTAGAAGAGTGGCTCAGAACCAAGGAAGATGCTCAGAATTATTCAGCCTACACATCAGAAGCTGTAGTAGAAGAAACTTCGAGCGTTTTCCAAGTCTTAAAAAAGACGATTCGAGCTCATGAAGACGTCAGCCACTCTTGGACCGCCGTCAGGAACTCTGTAGGCTTTGGAAATTCAAAGTTGAAGTGTTCGTATTTTACAGATTGCTGATTACGATAGAAACGGCAATAGCGACGACCAAATCGATGTGAGTTTCAAAAAGGCCGAAATTAAATTGAAAATTTCGCAGGAGAACATAAGCAGCCTTCTGAAGCATCTGAAAACGCTGAAGTCACTTTCTCAAGCAGCCTATGACGTCACTTCGAGTCAAAGTTATGTTTTGGAGGTTTGTGAAGCCATTGAACAAATAATGAGAAATTTTCGCAGGAGATTCTGAGGAAAGTCATGACGTCATCAGAAACGATAACAAACGGAGCTGAAGAGCTCCTTCGGATGGCTCAGGTCGGCGATGACCTGTTTTTACACAAAAGTTGATAAGGCCGAGTTTTGGCTCAGAACTCAGTAATAATTACTTTAAACCAACCTAAATTCGAAACTCGAGTGAAAAAAAAAGAAAAGAATAAAGTTTTCAGTAGTTTCCACCAAAATATGATTTTTTCAATACTTCTTTTTTCCCTAACTGTTCTTGGAAAAGAATTATGGAAACTTGGGAAAAAAAATTTTTTCTGATGTTTCCCCATGGCAAATTGTGTGAATTTCATGTATTCCTGTACTTTTCGGGGAGCCTGATTTTCCAAACCAAACGAACTCCATTAAAAGACGCAAAAGTATAGGATTTCTCTCATTTTGGAGCCATATTTTACAATTTCCCTGTTCCTTAAGAGTCCTAACTTTCCAAGCGCAATCGACTGAATTTAAAAAAATTTCCTTCTCAGTCTTTCAATAACTCTTTTAATACCAATGTTCGGAATTCCAGCAAAACCTACGAATCCCGATGAAGCCACGCGTTGACATGGCCGCGGCCCACCGAAATTTGGATTCCGACGTCTTCACGCTTCAGACCATCGCCGACGAGTACAACTGAATAGAATTAACTCTTTATGCAGTTGAAAAAATTCGCGAATGAACATTTTTACGATTCGGATTATTCATCGAAAATATAGGATTGGAATTTTCATCGATATTCGAATTCCAAAGCATCTCTTTTTATCTTATAAACTTTTTAAAAATCCGGCTGCAAGTTCCAAGAGAACGACCAAGAAAAAAACTTCGATTTTAAGAGTATTTTTGATGAACTAAAAAAAAACTATTTCCTTGTAACAACACCCAGGCGTAGTAAATTCAATGAAGAGGAAAAATTGAGAAGAAGAAGCTTGGGATGAATTTATGAACAGAAAAACCAGTCTAGCTAATTTTTTTGTAAGAATAAATAAAAATTCTCTACACCAACAAGAAATTCATATTTTTTTGCAAAAAATCAGTAACTTTCATAGGAAAGTGGAAAAATAAAAGAAAAATGAAAAAGAAGGAAGGAAAGAAAAAAAGAAAAATGAAGAATGGCGAGAGGTCTGATGGATAGAGAGAAATTGATCTGTGGTCAGGTGCAGATCAAAACGTCGTTCCGAACGAGCAAGAAATTTCGAACGAATGGTTACGATTTTTCACTCTCTGCTGGCTCGTTTGAAATTTTGCGCAATCAAAAAGGCTTTTGTGTCTTTCATAAATCATGTCAGAGAATTCCGAAAAATCGAAGAATATTTTTCGTTCTATGTATATCTTTTTTTAAAAATGCTTTTTATTCTTTTCTCCTGCTTTTTTCAGTATTTCTACGAAATTTTTTGACATGGAATTTTCCGGATTTGAACATTCTATTGTTCATTTTCGGAATTTAAAAAAAAACGTGTTTTGTTTCGGTCGTGTGTGTTTTTGTAAGGCAAAAATAATTTCTAGTTTCTTGAGAACCCTTGAAAATTCAATAAAACCCTTACAATTGTTTCTTCTCAACTTCCAACCTTTTTTTCGTTGTTTCCCAATGAACTTGTCGCCAGCAACGTATAAACCAAAGATTAAAATCGACGACCTCACCACTCTTTCCAATGATAAACGGCATTTTATCTCTCTTCCTTTCTCTTTTGCTGCCACGTTTTTCAAAACTTCCTTGCTCATACTACCAGTGTCCGATTCAAGTCTTAAAAATCGATTTCCTCACATTTTTCTTCCATTTTATGTTGCATTGCTTAGCTTTACAGCTATCTCTGTTATTTTATTCATATGAATCAAGTGAAAACGTTTCCAATTCGGTTAATTTTTTTTTTCATTTCAATTCGAAGATTTCTTACTTCGTGTTCTTTCTCTCTCTCTTCCTAGCATCTTGTATATTTTTTTAAAGAAAAGTTTGAACTCAATGAATACAATTTAAAAAAATATTCTAATGCGAAAACTGAACCCTCGAAAAAAATTGAGAGTTGATCTCATTTTTTTCTCACTCCTTTTTCATTCGTCATTCGAATGATTTTATTCGTCGCTCTATCAAATTTTTACATCTGCAAATTCAATTTTTTTATGGCGTGTTCATTGGAGAAACGGAGCATGTATCAAAAACTCAAAAAGAGTGTTCATCGGCGCGCAAAAAGTTGCTTCATTTCTTTTGAAACGGAACAAATCTTAGATGTGCAGGTTTCGCGCGGGAAACCTCTAAATTCAAAAATTTTCTCGTGTTTTTTTGATGCAAATGATGAATTTTCAATGTCAAAATTGCAAAAAAATTGAGGATATAAGAGGATGGAAAAACATTTCAGCGATTTTTGTTATTTGTTAATATTGAATTTTTGTTGTATTATTAATAACTTTTTTTGAGACTTTTTCGCTCCAAATAATTAAGAATGCAATTAAAAAAAGATGAAATATCACTTCAAAAATAAATTTTTTTCGAACTATTCTGCTTATTTAAAAAAATAAATGACATGTTAATCTGTCAAATTAAATGATTAATCGCATTATAAAAAAATATGTTAACTTTTCATTCAACCGAAATGTTAAAAATTTTTATATTTTAGGTGACATGTTATGAAAAATTTTTGAACAAAAAAATTGGTCGAATGATCATTTCTGCAGATTATAGTCTGGATAACTAGCGAATGCCTAGTTGAACTGGATTGGATATCGACTATAAGTCGCTTTATTTCTCACAATCAGCATTTATTGAAAGAAAATTAGACTCGAACCTGTCTCCTGGATATAATCGCTTGAGTTGAGAAAGTCGAAATAGAAAAAAACCATTATAATTTCAGAAAATATTCATCACAAGTTGTTATACAATAACCGCTTGGCAGGATTGTTGCTCGAGCAATACTTGCTATTGCCTATGATTTCTAAAAGTATTTGAAATTGAGATCCTTTATTCCTGCCATGTAGCTACCATGCAAACTAATAAAATAAATCTGCTGACAGTAATGCATTACTGCTAACATTAAGGCACCTGTAAACCAAAGATAAAAAAAATTCGATAAAATAAGCAGGCTATCTTCAGAAGGTTTGACGCAACTTTGCGTAGAGTGGATGATCGAAAGAACTTTTCACTTTTTTTCAGATACAGTTCGCATTCTTTTTTTTCAGAAACCGTTTGCATTATAGGTGGTAAGAAAAAAAACACGAGCGAAAATTCAAAAGGCGACTTTTCCGATTTTTTCATATCGCTAGGGAACCGACGGATCTCTTTCCGACTTTTTTCCCTTATGTTTTTCGGTTTATAAAACATCTATAAACTTTTTTTTTCCTATTTATTTGTGTTTAATCATGAACCAACTACCTACATTATATAGGAAGATTTAAAACGAAGAGAAATAAAGTCGGAAAAAGTTTCGTCGGAAAGGTGTCCATTGGAAAGTTTCCTAGCGATATGAAAAAATCGGAAAAGTCGCCGTTTGAATTTTCGCTGGTCTTTTTTTCATACCACCGCAATATATAGCGTTTATACAGGTCCACGTTGAATTTATAAAATATTCTCCTTCATTTGCTCATTGAATCCTGACTAAAATAAAAAGTCGAACGATTACATTTAAAAAACTTAATTCAAACAATATTTTTGAGCAAGACGTTTATGATAAGAATCAAGTTTTCGCAAAAAAAAACTTTCAGGGCGGCAGAGCCGTGCGACCTATGTGGAGTGTTCATCGCGATGACCGCTGCGTCGGAAAATCGGAGCATATTTCAAAACGGAAAAGCATGTTCATCGGCGCACCCCAGGAGCAACTTTCGTTTTGTCCACACGCCACTGAAATTTGTCTCAAAAGCTGAAACAGAGCTTTGAGAATAATTTGGGCGAAACTTGGTTCCAAAAAAAATTTTTCGGCTGAAAAAACAAAAATTTCGGTTGTTTTCTCAACATTGATTAGAAAAATTGAAGAAAAAAAAACTATTTTTTATTGATAAAAAAATATGAAAAACATGATAAATAAACTGAATAGTAAAAAAAATTTATTTTGAAATGATATTTCATCTTTTTTTAATTGCATTCTTAATTATTTGGAGCGAAAAAGTCTCAAAAAGAGCTATTAATAATACAACAAAAATTCAATATTAACAAATAACAAAAATCGCTGAAATGTTTTCCATCCTCTTATATCCTCAATTTTTGCAATTTTGACATTGAAAATTCATCATTTGCATCAAAAAACACGAGAAAATTTTGAATTTAGAGGTTTCCCGCGCGAAACCTGCACATCTAAGATTTGTTCCGTTTCAAAAGAAATGAAGCAACTTTTGCGCGCCGATGAACACTCTTTTTGAGTTTTGATACATGCTCCGTTTCTCCAATGAACACGCCATTAGAATCAAAACATCTTCAATATTCATTTTTTCCGATGACAGTTCAAAGTTGATCATTCACTATGCGAGCTTTTGCGTCGAGAAAAAAAAAACTATTTTTCAGTTCAAAGGAATGATTGATATTCAGCGCGACTGAGCAAAAATGTGTAGTTCACTCCAAGAGCAGAGAAGCCCAATGGACAAGGTTGGTTTTTATTTTTATCGAAGTAATTATATTAAGGGCATGCTGGAAAATTCGGTCGGTCCGGTCACTTTTTTATGACGCTTATTTTTTCAAGTTTTCCGAATTTGAAGTTTTTTGCAAAGTTTTTCGAGTTTTATAAATGTTTTAATGGTTTTAAAGAACCTATTTCTTCAATATATGACGAGTTTCGTAATCAGTTTTTCGAAAACTGTGGCCGTTGTGCTCACAAAAACTTTGTTTCTGGATTTATCCATTTCCGCCAAAAAAAAAGTTTTTAAACCTCAATGAACACCATTTCGCACTTGACAAATTTTGATTTCAGGTCAAAAAGGTTGATATGGAATTTATTGAAAAATACACAAAATCTCCTATTTTTAGCCGCCAATATTTGGTATTTCGGAACCTAAAACCTAGCCACAATCAAGAATACTACATTTTTTTGGAAATTTGAACAATTTGGAACTAAAAAAAACTTTGAAATTTTCAAAAATAACATATTTGAAAAAGTGACCGGATCGACCGACTATCCAGTCTGCCTATAATGTGTATTATTAATATCTTGACGTTTAGGCTCTCGACTTGCTGAATCGTGAAGTCGGAGAAACCTATCGAATCATCGAAATTTTGGAGAAAGACTTTTCAAACAG